GAATTACGTTGTCTCAACTTTATTATTTGTTTATCAATATTCCGAAATACTCAGTCGCAGAATGCTTAGATAAATAACAGTAACGATGAACTAGTTGATAGTAGTGTGATTCAGAATTTTGTTTGCTGTCGCTTATAAAAATATTCCTAGAAATAAAATCAAAGTAAATATGTTATCGACACTTGTATTGAAATTGTGTTATTTATTTTATGCCAAAGAGAAATGGTCTCACGGAAATTGAAGAAAATAGTTGAACCATAAACTCTCACATTTTATTTATTATTTATCAAACACAAGACGTTTCAGTTGGTTGCAGCCAATAGTCTTTAAAGTCTGCAAAATATTTTTAAATCGAACAACAACCTTGCCTAAAAACGCATTTAATTGTGGTCCGCAAAGTTCTCATTTTATTTTAATAGCCACATTTCATTTTGGTCTGGAATGTTTGGCAATGCAGCCTGATAAGTTATTCTTTTCATATGAAAATTAAATGGAAACAATAAACAAGCACAGTAGCTTTGGACCACAAAAATGCTTGTTTATTTGGATTTTGAAAACAAATCATAATAGTCCATGGACTTACTGTTTTAATTAAATTAAAAATGCCTGCATTTGCTTTATTTACCGGGGATTAGGGATTGATGTTTTGGCATTGCTATGGATTTATCGCCGTCGTATGCTTTTGAAAGCATCCAACATCCAGCATCCAGAACTGACGGGATTATAGCCAAGTAAGACAACTCAAAACTTGGGGGGCTGCTGCATATTGTCTGAAGTAATTTATAATATCACGACGTGACGTGCTTTTGCCTGATAAATGAGCCAAATGTCGCCACGGAGTCAGTTTGCTAAATAATAAACTCTCGCCAGTGGAGAGGAGGGGCAAATAATGTGGATAGCCACGTTTCGTTGGAAAAATAGAATGGCTACGCTCTGCCGACTGGGATCAGCCCCAATTTCCACCCACTTTTCCACCACCACCCCCGAAATCCCAGTTTCTTGCGCCTTTCTAACTGCGCTTGAGCCGCAGCGTTTTGTTTTCGCACTTTGCGCGCTTTAGTTTCGGAATTTTCCATCAAATCATCAACACTTCCCGCAGAAAGCGTGTCTCAACATTATTTATGCAGATTTTCTTTCTACTTTTTGCCCGCGTTTCCCAGGAACAAAAGACAAGAGATAGTAGTGGGCGCAACAAGCGTGTGAACTAGCGCCAGGCTATTTCTCATATACAGTGGGATAAATTGGAAATGTTTTGTATATAAATTCTTATAATGCTTTCATTTCCAAATGTATGAAATAAGTTTCTTGATATCTCTCAATATTATTACACGACGCTGTTTAGAGGTTATTTAAGAATGAAATATGGTAAACAACTGTTTAAAACACTATTCAGAAAAAATACAAAAAGAAAAAAATGTTAAAATAAAATACATTTCTTGATGCAACTCATTAATAGTATAACACGCGCACGCGATAACAGCATTCAAATATAAATATTGTAGTCTACCGAATTTTAGAAGAATCCCTACAATTCCCAACTAACTAAAAAACTCCAAAAAATAGTTATGTAAACTTAATTTTCACAACCCGTTTGCCATCTACTGTATAGCAGTGTCGAAAACAAAATGCCATTAAGCTTAAGTTGGGCATAACATAAGAACAAAAACATCTGAGAGCTGTTTGTGGAAATAAAAAACACAAAGTCCCATAAAATAAAGTAGGAAAAACTCTTCGTATGCATAAACAATTTAATGCGTTCTCTGTGCGAGTGCGTATGTGTGTTTGTGTGTTTGTGGGTGGTGTGTGTGTGTGGCAATACAATACAATTTACACGCTTATTAATTTTTACAAGACTTTAACCGACACTTGAGCCAAACAACAAACAGCCAACAACAAAGGCAACAAAAACTGGAGCGAATGCTTTCCAACGTGTGTGAATGTTTGCCAACATTACTCACACACACTCACACACATACACAGCGCACCTCTTCAAACAAAAATTCAACTTGGTTTTCGGTTTTTTTTTTTCTTTACTCTTTTTGGTTATTTCTATTATTTGCGTGGAAGCTGTGGAAAAAAAAGAAAAGAGTGAAAAGGGGTCCTCTGTTGCCGTAGTAACTTTGCTCTAAAAAGTTTTGGCACCCATTTCGGCAGAGGCTTTGGGTGCGGGTAAATATATAAGCCACAATTTTAGCATGTAAAATATGGCCAAAAGGAATTTATATTTTTATTTATTTTTTAATATCAAAACTTTTCGACATACGAAAGCAGCAAAGCGTAGAATGTGGCAAGCCAAAGAACAAGCTGGGCCCTTGAGGGGTTTCTGTCATATGTGGAAACACATTTTGCCAGTTCATGCACAAAGGCAAAATTGTCTGTGAAAGGCAGCTCCCTTTCAGATCTAGTTAAATCAACTACTAAAAGTTATTCAATGCAGTACAGGAATAAAATAAATAATATGTTCACACATAAAAAAGTCGTTTATTTGTTATTTATTAAAACTCAAGTTGTTTTATTCAGGCTTTTAAAAATATTTTTTTTACGGTTTTTTTTTTTCATAACTTAGTCAAAATAAATAAGACACACAGCATTTTTTTTAACATTTCCGAGTTTTGATAAGGGGTTACATCACGACTTTTTGCGAAATTGCCGCCCTTTTTCTCCAAGTGCAGTCACGCCTTCTTTATGCCATGTCCTTGCTTGTTGTGCTCCTGCTTTTCGGGTTTCTGAACGAGTGGGAGAAAGTGACCAACAAGTTGGCAGGATCAGATGGCAGGAAGTACACGAGCACACACGCTGGAAAAGTGCATGTGTAATTGGGAATAACGGGATATATGTTTGCACCAACAGCCAAAGGTGAAATGTGAAAGAAAAATGGAAAATGAAAAGCGAAAAGGAAAGGCCAAGAAAAAATGGATGAAGAAAAACTTCTGCGACGAGGACAAATTGCCAGCTTCTGGAAAGTTTTGCCCAGGCCAAAAGAAAATAGTTTCTGATGTTGAACGAGTGACGAAAGCAGCACACACACACACACACACACAAGTCATTCGTGAAAACTTGTTGTCTGTGTGGACGGGAAATTGTGCGTGTGCAAGTGGGCGTGCGTTTTCTTTTTTGCCAACAAATAATTTCAATTTTTAAATTAATTAAAGTTTTGCGGAATGGTAAAAGTTTACTTTTAAAATTTGGAGCGTGGCAATTGAAAGAGAATTAATGATAATGCGAATCGGAAAATACTTTGTAAAGCGTTTTTTTCTCTCTAAAGTCAACTATAATCAGGGTATAATTGAAAAATGTGTTTAAAATCAAATTAAAGCTGTTTTCATAGGCACAACAGTTTGAATATCAAATAACTTAACAAGGTGTTTAAATAACATGAACCCAAAAAGTTATTAAATTTAAAATAGCATTTTATATTACTGATAATTATTGACAAAAGTAATGTTTGAAATTATGTTGCGAGTCTATCAATAAAAATGAAATGTATAAAAAATGTTATGGGTTTACTGACAAATATCAACTAAATATGCCAAAAATATACTTCAGATCTAGTAATGAAGTTGAAGTTGTTGAATGATTAAATAATGCTGCCTTTTTGCATACTTTTCCAAAAATAAAGAATGTTCCGATTGGCCTTTAAGCTGTTTAAGTTCACCCAGAACAGAACCACTCTTTGGCAGTACATTTTTCGCTTTGAGGCTCTTTGCTATCTGCTATATGCTATATGCTTGCCACTTGTTATATCGCTCCGGCTTTCTGTGTCTATCATCCTGGCCTGCGCCACCTCACTTCCGCTCATATGTCGGCGCTGGGAAAGTTGAGAATTTAAAGGAATTATAAGTACTCGAGCATCTGACACGTCGGCCGCACTTGGGAGAGTTGCCGGGGACTTGGCAGTTGGCAGTTGGCAGTTGTCAAGTGTGCTCCGGCCACTCACTATCCCTCTTCCCTAACCTTTCCTGCCTTTTCCAACCCGTTTTTCTCCCCCATTCAGAATTGAGTGGGGAAACCCAGTGACGAATGTCGCCTGAAACTCATATGCACTCTCCGGCGCCTTGAAGGCAAATAGTTTGAGGGATTTGCAACGAGAATGTCGGCAATTACAGTCAAACTTCTACGCTTAGAAATTGATAACCCTGTCATGAGCTGGGATGTTGTTAAATGCAAATCAGAAGAATGGTTAGGTATTCCAAATCACAAGCAATCAAACATATCATTTGCGGTAAAGTTAACCTTTTAAATAACATATTGTAAATTGTATGAAGACTTAACTGAACTATAATTTGTATTATTTGCTTATAAAGAAAATCTAACATAAAGTATTAAAACTGAAATTATTAAAGTAAATTTAATGTGTTTATCATTTCTGAATATTATACATTCATACATAACATGGAAGAAATGTTTTACTTCAATAAATTTCAATGCCATTTTCTATTATTATTTGTTATTGAAAATAAACTCACCCAGCAGAGTTTAACAAAATGTGTATGACATATTGAGCATATATTTTATTTCATCATTAAATCGAAAAAAAATGTTTCTGGGCCCAGATTGTGTGTAGCACCCATATCACTTGGATAAATAATAAATAAATAGGTATCCATTAAACTTCACTGTACTGCAAGGCACTTAAAGTCTGGGAAAACAGCTGGTAAATGTCTTGTGTGTAAGCGGCTTATGTGCCACTCCCTCCGCCCCCTTTTCATGTGCCCCTGCGCCCCTGTGCCCCTTGACCCCCTTGGGAGTCACGTTCATATGTCATATTGAAAAGGAGAAGAACAAATGTATCGTGGATGATTTCTAATCAAATATATCATGTGCTCCGTCGCCCAAGCAGGGAAATTGTGTTTGCACTTTTCTTTCCTCTCTGTTCTTCTCCTTATTTTCTTCGTTTCGTTTCGTTTCGTTTTTTGTGTTTCATTTTGTATTTTCTTGTATATTTTGTTTGTGATGTGAGGTGATTAATAATATTACCATGTTTGCCGTTTCATCTGCAGGTATGACGGAGGAAATAACCGGCGATTGGAGCTATTACGTGTATATATCGCTAACGTTGGTTCCAGTCTATTTGGCATTTCGGCTCATTAAGTCACTGGGCTGGCAGCTCTTCGTCAACAACTGAGCAAACACACAGAAGTTGCAGCCGTCATCAGAAGAATCCGTGGAGGAAAGATCCAAAGAGGTGCGTAGTCACTTGAGGTTGCCACTCAGAAGCGGTCGAGTGTCGAGTGCCGAAAGTCGAAAGTTGAGTGTCGATAGTCGTGGTCGAGTGGCAAACACTGAAACTTGCAAGCTACCAGCGGAAAAGTCAAAGAGTCAGTCGAACCGAAGTGCGAATTACCCTATTAATCCTTAAACTTTGTAAACTCCAAAATAGAGTTAGAGACCTAAAAAAGTATCTTATACTTATCTTTGCATTTAAAGTTCAATGAATCAATGTGTATGATGCCTAAAAAAGTACTCTGTACATAAATCTCTTAGTTCTTGTTTTTAAATTTGTCTGTTTAACTATACTTTATTTAATATACTTTTAAAGTTATCTTATTTTTGTGTTTGCATTATCAGTGGATCAAAGTGTATGATATATTAATATTATTTAATATATGTTAAAAGTTATCTTATTTTTCATTTGCATTCTTTACTAAAAGAGATCAAAGAGTATTAAGTACTTAGATTTATGTGCGCTATTTTGTTCAGTTGTCCATTCATAGCATAAACTTTCATTATTCGTCTTGAAACAAAGTTGGTCCAACTCAGAGATTAACTGAAATCCAAAGGCATTTATTTTAAGTTGCAAACTGATAGACTTTAAGCCTTTGAATGGAGAGCATCAAATAACTTTGCGGCCAACAATAATTCGTGGAAAACTATTTAAATATGCTTAACGTAAGTCCTTTGCTTTTTCCCTTTGCAGCGTGATATAAACGTATATATATTTGTTAAAAATGCAATAAATGGAAGGCTAGAGGACTAGAGAGAGAGCGGCACAAGAGTGATAAAAAGGGGTCCAGAGCAGCTGCCAGGATAGCCAGGATAGCCAGTAGTGCCAGGATCGTGTTGTGCTGCTGTGTTGTGTTGGCCAAGCCGAGTTGCTGCTGCTGCTGGCTGGCCGAAAAAGGAGCAAACAAAAGGCGAGGCGATGCCAAGCAGCAATCAACGTCATAAGCAGGAGCAGCAGCAGGACCAGAAGCCGAAGTCGAAGCAGGAACAGGAACAGAAACCAGAACACGGACCGGAACAGGACCACCACGACGGACGGAGTTATTGTGGTGGCACCGCCAAGCCGCCGCCGCAGCAGCATAAGCATCAGGATCCACATCCACTGTAGGGACAGCCACCTAGCCACCCAGTCACCCAGTCACCTAGCCACCTAGCCACCCAGTCACCTAGCCCACCCACCACATCTACCCATATCCTTAGCAAACAAGAGGAACTGCTGGCATCACAAGGCAGAAGCAACAGCAGAAGCAACAGCAAAAGTCAAAGCAAAACAACTCTCGCTTTGAGGACCTCAAGAAAACCAATTTACATATTTAAGCTTTGGGCAAACGCAAAGCGTAGCAGCAACTAGGAGCAATCAATAGGAGCTGGAAAAAAAAAGAGAGAGAGTGCCTCTGGGAAGAAGGACCTAACCAGAGACCACACCAGACCAGACCAGTCATCCTCATCCGCATCCGCATCCGCTGTATCAAAAGGCCAGTTAGCTGAGGCAGCACAGCCAGAATGCGACTGCCATACCGAAATAAGAAGGTCACCCTGTGGGTGCTCTTCGGCATCATCGTCATCACCATGTTCCTTTTCAAATTCACCGAGCTGCGGCCCACATGCCTCTTCAAGGTGGACGCCACCAACGAGCTGGCCTCCCAAATGGTACGCGTTGAGGTATGTACCCCCCTTCCAATTCGAACCCAATCTGTTTGGCTTACACCCCGGCATCCATCCACACCATCCCATCCGTGGCCGGGAACAAGAATATGAGAAAGCACACATAGTCACACCCCGGAACATCTCCATTCGATATTCGTTGCCCCAAGGTGCGTCGCAAAAATGTAGGGATGTAAATAAAAATATTTAAATTTAATCAAATGGTAAAGGAGGGGAGGTGGGGAGGTAGATAAGCAATCACTTCCAGACTAGCCTGATTCGATAATCTATTTTTTATTCCCAAATCAGTCTGCAATTCAATCAAGACTTTATGATTTACTTGAATTCTTATAGTATGCAATTTAGATCAGAGAGAGAGAGAGAGAGAGAGAGCCTTACATTTCTGCGACACACTGTGCTGACCAAGCCAAACTAAAAGAAAAAAACATTTGCAATGATAAATCAAAGGAAAAAAATCATGGAAGTAGAACCGAAGCTGGATAACTAATTTCATGTTGGCTGAGCACAGATGAAAATCCTGCCGGCCCCCGGAAAACAAAACACCGACCGACCGAACGACCGAACAACCGACCGCACACGCAAAACCAAAGCAAAAGTCATTGAGGGAATTTAACTGGTTATCGGATGACCGAACACTATTTTGTAAACATTAGTTGAGACCAAAACGGTCTCGTTGGAGTTTGAATGTTGCTTTTGTGTTATGGCAGGGGTTGGGGTATCCATTGATTAGCATTGGGAATATCGAAGGCGGAGGTCATAAGCAGCTAAGAACGGAAAGGGGATGACTCCACACAAGAAAGACAATGCGTCTGTACGGGATTTGTGTGTGTGTGTGTGTGTGTGTGTGTGTGTGTGTGTGTGTGTGTGTGTGTGTGTGTGTGTGTGTGTGTGTGTGTGTGTGTGCCGAGATAGCCAAATCATCGAAATCATTTCCACATTCACATTAACACATCCTTGGTTTTTGGCCATTGAAAGGGGCCTTAATTCCGGTGCTTTTGTGAGCCCAATTATGGAAAATGTGGAGCCATGGCTTAATTCGGCTATCATGCAGCCTGCGAAATGCGAATGCATGATAGTGCATAATTATTTGCACCCATGGATTCAAATTGCAATAGGTATTGCCATAAATCCAATAATCCATAGCAACAACAGAAATGCATCTTCTTTAATGGGCATAACAATGTTGTGCGGCCAAAACAAATAATATAAATTAATGCAAATGATACCTACTGTGCATGAGAAATTAGGGCAGACTTTAATTCAGCAGGTTTTGTGTTGCTAATTATGGCCAATGTGAAGCCGGGCCTTTAATTGGTTATCATGGCACTTCTAAATGCGAAATCAAAATATGGCTTAATTAACCCAACTCAATTGGCTGACGTGCAGGTCCAAAAGCAATTTAATCCACAGTTTAATTTGGCATCGCTCAACCAAATGGCCTATTCATCACTCAATGCACTTTGAACAATGGGTTTTGCATTTCACCAACTCCAACAGGCATATCAATATCAAAAGTGATTTATAAATTAAATCACATTAAATCACAAATATCAATGTTAGTTTAATATTATAAATTTTATGGGATATATGGGATTTTTAAACTCAGAATTGGGTATGTTATCAAGGAGCAGTCAAAGTATGTACTAAATTGGGCAACAAAATAAATATATATTTAAGAGAATTCTAAAATCATTTAATTATACTAGAGAAAATCGTTTTAAGAATATGGAAAGCTTATTTATTTAAAGAATATTTTATTGTTGTGCTACAAATCGAAAGCCCTTACAATTTAAACTTACTTTCCTTATCGCCAACACTATAGAATCTGTGTTTTTCCAAATATTTTTTTTGTTTTATCGATTGATACACTTCGATTAGATAAAAGGCAAAGCAATGATTTATGAAAACCGATCGATTTTCCATTAGTTGGTTAAAAACACGGCGATGCGTTGTTTGCCTTTGATAAGGTTCCAATTTATCACAGGGCTTAGGCTGCAGAAAGATAAGGCGCCAGACCTGTGCGGCTCCATATGGATAGCTAGCTATTCTAGTTCTAATTTTAGTAATGCCCATCACCTGTCTGTCGCCTCCACTCCTCATTTCCATTTCTCCTGACGCTAATGCCCGCGAAGGCGTCAACACCTGCGCTTACTCAACCGTCAAGCCATCAACCGGAATCCGGAATCCGCAATCCCCACGCTACCACGCACCATCATCATTATAATAATAATAATCATAATCATAATAATAATAATAATCATCATCATGGCCATGCCATTTATTTTGCGCCTGCAACTTTTCTCTAATTTCATTTTTTTGTCTCCACCTACATTGACGTCGCGGATGCGGATACGGATGCGAAACCCCGGACACGGACACGGACACGACTACGGTTACGGTTATGGAATACGGACACGTTCAGAAATACCTCACAGATGACAATCAACGCGTTTATTCATACAACCGTGAGATGCCATTAATATTCATAGGCGGCGTGCCCAGATCTGGGACGACTTTGATGCGCGCCATGCTGGATGCCCATCCCGATGTGCGGTAAGTCCTGCTCCTGCTCCTGCTCCTGCACCTGCTCCTGCCCGGAAACCCCTGGTCCAGGCTCCCGGCTTCTGGGTCCTGGGACCAGCGATCCGGGTTATGCCCCCTCCCCTGTAACCGGATAACGAATAATACCCTTTCCTATTACCCAGTCACTGTTCGATTTGATTGTTTGCCACAATGCGTATTCTGGGGGCGGAATGCTTCACTTCCATCTGCCCTTCCTCTAGCGGGATTTATTGGTTTGACATTGAGCATAAGAAGGGTTGAATAGCCATATCTTGCGGGTATCAAGATGTCTAAAATTATGGAATAAATATTTATAAAACATATCTGAAGTTATATCAAATCAATTGATTAAAGTATTTATAGAAAAATACAATTGTCATGTATCTTGAATGTACATTTGTAAAACGTTTAAAATGCAATTTATTATTTTAAAACAACGTTTCAACTCTAAAACAAAGTTAATTTTTCTTTCTTTGAATAAATATTATCTCCTTTAAGTACGCTTCTTTAAAATGTAATAGCTTTCCAATGTCAAAGCTAAAATAACTTTATGTCATTGAAGATTCAAAATGAGCTACTTAAAAAAAATAACCGAGTAGTAAATAAAACACACATTTCCCATTATCCCCGAATAAATCTTAAATTATATAATTTCGCCATGCTTCAATCGTTGCATTCCATTTAAAAGGATACCCGTGTCGTCATATTATTGAAAAGCTCGAAATCATTGCTGTCAATTCAATTAACATTTCATTTTGCACGAAGGAAATCCAATTTAAAGTTTCTCTTTTACCACCTTGCGTGGGAGTGGTCCTCTTCCTTGCTTCGAGTTCTTGAGAACTCAGATGGATATCACATATCCCTTTAACTAAAACATTTTTGGCTTAATTCATATAAGTATTCTCTTTCCACACACTCTAAATGTGAGTTGTAACTACATGAATGAAGAATAATTACTTAGGTAAGAGACATGATTTTCCAAGGAAAATTTATTCCATGGAAGTGTCTGCCTTATTTTAGAAGAAATTTTACCCTTTCTGCGAATAGCAGTTTGTGGGGGAAAACTGCATTTCCTTTGAGTTTATTTATTATTGGTTTATTATTATTGTAACAATAATCCCAAAGGCTTGTTTCAAACGAAACAACAATAGTTGCCAATTTTCTTTGTTTTATTTCTGGCTCAATACATTCGAATGTTTTAATCAATTCCTGTGAACTTTAAGTGTCGCACCCAATTTCCAAAAAGTTTATATTTTAAAAGCCACTTCAATGGCTTAATCCAGTTTTATCTTTCGACAATCTGTCTGAATTAAAAACCACAATTATCCGGTTATATAAAATTTTATTTTATTAACTGTTGCCTCCCAACTTCATTGGGGATTATCCAACTAGAAAATTAAATGTTTGCATACCAACAGTATGTTTATCATATTTTTTTTTTTTTTTTAAATCCTTTAAGCCAAAAATCTGCCAACACTGCCAATTTTCACACTTCCTTTGAGTATAATCAAACATTTGCCACTGCCTTAAAAAAACATTCCAATTTCAAATAATTTCCTCTTCCGTTCGGAGGACCTTTTCAGCTGCTGCTTTTTGCCCAGCCATAAAGTGTATTTCCACTCCGCTCTATGGGGAAAATGTTGTAAATTTTAATATATACATTTTTGGTTGGCTGCTGTGTGTCCCAGTCTCAGTACCCCATTCCCATTCCCAGTTCCCCAATTTCAATCTGCCACCTCCCACAGATAGCAGCAACCCAATTCGATATATTCCGTTTCGCCCTTTGGCAATTTTAATATTTTTTTACGGCTGGTCCCTCGATTTGCGTATCTGTTTCTGGTCTGGGCTTTCTGGGCTTTATCTCGCTGCCTTTTTACCTTCTGGCTGCTGTGTGCCCCATATATTATAACTTCTTAAGTTTCCCTTACGCATGAGTAATTAGCCACGAAATTTGCGCAATCTGAAAATGAGAAATGGCCATGGACCGTATCGCACCCAAAAAGGAGTTTTTTTTTTTTAGGCCCTTATTTTATTAACAATTTGCCTTTCTGCCGGCCCCATTTCCAAACCATTTCGCTCCATCCTGTGCCATCGCATTGCATCCGTGGCCTATCCTCCGTCCTGTATCCTGAATCCTGAATCCTGTCAGCAGGCTGCCTGGCTGGCAGGGTCGCTTTTTCTGATGGCTGCACAGCGCAATTTCCGCTATTTAAAAACCGACTTCCCTTTCCCTCAAGAATCTCACGGATTTTAGTTGCAGAATAGGTCCTCGTCCTTTGTTCGCCTTTTGCAGGACGATGGTGGTGCAAAGTGTAAAACTTTCCTAAGCGTATGTGGATGTGGAGTAGGTCACCCTCGTTCGTTCGTTCGTTCGTTCGCTCGTATCCACACTGCTCCCTTCTGGTTTGCAGATTAAATCTGCTTTAGCATTTGTAGCATTTAGCATTTGGACTTGGCATCAACTAATTGAGTCTGGGTAAGCCCCGAAACAATTTTGTGGGATTTGCATGGCCGGAAAGGGAGTGGGACAGGGATCGTGGGCTCCTCGCCGAGATGGAGGACTCTCATGTCGAGGTGCGAACAAATGTAATTGGTTGGGGCCAGCAGATAAAGTTGTGACCCCGATTTAGGTGGTGCAAATAGGTGACTCCATGTTGCTGGGCTATTAAATTTCGGGCTTAAAGGATTTTTTTTATATCACATTTCTAAAACATTTATTTTCAAGGCAGGCGGTAACAAATGTTATGCATTTAAGATAAGCCAAGAAGGTGACCCCTAAATTTATGGTGTAAATAAGTAATTCGAACTAGTTTTTTACATTAGTTTTTATTTTTGTTTGTACCATTTTTCTTCTTTTTACATAAGCCCTTCTTGTTAACAATTTTAATTGGGTTTTTCAGTTATTGCAAAAACAAAAAGAAAAAAAATAACAATAACAGATAAGCAAGCTAATTAACTAATTGATAATAACAATGTTACAGACTTAATTAAAACATTAACAAGTTAATTACTAGTAGACAAGAAAAAAAAAACTAAAGTTTTTCAATGTGAGTTAATTAGTCGGTAAATCATAAATCAACTTTGATTACTACCCTAAAGTCTGTTCAAATAATGTATGCCCTAATTTAGTTATCTATCTTTTAAAACAATCTATTTATTTTTTAATTATGATTAGCAGACTAAAAGCATGTCTAAATTTTATGTGGGGTAAATTTAAATTACGCTTTGCAGACATTATAATTGGTGGTAAATTATTTAATTATGATTATTATTGTAGTAAAACCAGTAATTTGTATAGTTTCTCGTGGTTTTATTTTTTTGAAGTACCTTTTCTAAAGCAAAAAGGAAAACTCAAATTAAACTTTGGTTGCTGACCCAAAGCCATTTTCAATTGGCCCAAAAAAGTAGTTGAATAAACAAGGCTTTGATCGACTTTGATTACTTTCCTCTGGGGTCATGGATTTGAGTTCGAGTTCGATTTCGGGTTCGGGTTTTGGTTTTTTATTTTCCAATTGCCGTTCGCTTTGCACTGCAGTGTGGGATATTTATGATAATTTACGCAATCAGGCAGTAATTTTTTGTGTGTGCTCTGAACTTGATTACGGTGCGCTGCTGGCGTAAAATTCTACTAAGGCAACGGCAAACGAGTCGTTTGAAGCCCTTCATAGTTCAGTGGTTTCTGCAGTCCTGCAGCCAAAGGGGAAATCGGAGTGGATTGGGTTGGGTTAGGTGAGGGTCTCGAATGGGAGCTATGCACCAGACATGGATTCGCGACGGGGACTCCACTTCCACTGGAGGAAAAGCCAAAGAGCTCACAGCGGATGGCATCCCATTTCGTTTTGTCGATTGCGCTAGGAGGAGGTACATGAAAGAGGATGGAGCCGTAGCCCCCATCACATGTTGCCCGGTGATACCGAACCGGCATGTTGGGGTGCCCCTTTGTTAGCTTTAATGCCAAACCTTGGACTTTAATGGGTGGGGTTACTAGTGTCCGACTGTTCACATTTTCCTTCTTCGTTGAAATTAGACAAGCATTTAAGGGCTAAAAACTATATGGAACAATTTAATGCGTGCATAAAATATATCCTCCCAAAATAAATATGCGATCTTTACAAAAGGTTACTTTTTTAGCACTTACAAATGCCAGTCACAAGTTTTAATAGCTTTTATTTAGGTGATATATGTTTATATATATTCAAATAAAAATAGTTTCATTTCTTGCAACTGAAATTAAACTTAATTAAATTAAATTTTATAAATATAGTTTAAAGGTATTTTTAAATAGAATTTAAACAGTAAAGTGTTATCGAAACCTATGATTTTGAACTCCCAAAAAGGTAAAATGTGCAATCCAAGTTGGGTGCACCCTATTCACGTGAATAGAAGCTGCCCCGCTGCCCGGTGCCCACAAACCCGCCGCTTTGTGTATTCTCATCAGTATATCCGTATTTTGTATTTTTTGGGATCCTTGCAGCTGCGGGCAGGAAACACGCGTCATTCCGCGCATCCTGCAACTGCGCTCACACTGGCTGAAGTCCGAGAAGGAGTCGCTCCGCCTGCAGGAGGCCGGCATCACCAAAGAGGTCATGAACAGTGCCATCGCGCAGTTCTGTCTGGAAATCATCGCCAAGCACGGCGAACCGGCGCCGCGTTTATGCAACAAGGATCCGTTGACGCTTAAAATGGGCTCCTATGTCATCGAGCTATTTCCGAACGTAAGTGCACCCGCAGCGATACAATTTACCCATTCCTACTATATACTTCCCAGTGCCCAGCCCAGCGCACTCAGAGTACAAAAAGCATAACAATATCAGTTACGAAACGCCGTTTTCATTCACCATATCTGATGTAAATGCATATCGCAAAAATCTCTTGTTAAGGAAATATCCGCATGTTTTTATGCGCCATAAAAAAATAATAACATTTTTCAGCTCTAGGGATTTAAAATCACCATTGCATTGACATGAAATATTTGTTAAATTACATAAAAACGTATCGAAATAAAATTATTACGTCTAATTTTAAAATCTCTTAAAAAACAAATAAATAAAAATTAAAACGTAACGTAACATTGCAAAAAAAATTTAATAAGGCTTTGGAATGATAAGCAATTTTATAGTCTAATTAACATTAAATCCCTGACACTATTAATTCTCTAAAGAATTTTTATCCAATAAAAACATTGATTTCTGTAACATTATACATAAATCATATAACAAATTTAGTTATACAATACAATTAATAATTGTAATATTTTAAGTTCCCAATTATAAGTGTTGACAATATTTTTCGCCGTGAACTTCGCTTACCCGCCTGTTTTCTGGTCGTTACAGGCGAAATTCCTATTCATGGTGCGCGACGGCCGGGCGACAGTTCATTCGATTATATCGCGCAAGGTGACAATCACCGGCTTCGATTTGAGCAGCTACCGCCAGTGCATGCAGAAGTGGAACCACGCCATCGAGGTGATGCACGAGCAGTGCCGGGACATTGGCAAGGACCGCTGCATGATGGTGAGTCCTGGGAGTCCTCCTCCATCCAGCCACCCAAATACACACCTGCTCGCTCACCCCCAACTCAATCAATGATGATTAACTTGGTCGGGCTGCTGCAGACTGGCACAGGAAATTAAGCGAAATGACTTCTAAATTCCATTGATGGCTGGTCTTAAAAGAACTAGCCATCGGAAATTGTGTATAAAATTAAAAGCAGCTTTCTTTAAAGTTTCAAAGAGTGTTAACTAGTTTTGGCCCATTTAAAACCATGATTTTGTGGATTTACGTTTAATATTTAATTGATATTACTTTGGCTAGGATAGCCAAGGAGAGTTAAACTTCTTTATAGCTAAAACCAAAAAGGGATACAAAGGGCATAACATTTAGCTAAAACCAAAAATGATCCTATTAAAGTCATAGCAACCAAAATTCTTTACTAAAAAACATGATGGTGAAATGTTTTTAATAAGTTTGTTTTTTAATTGGAAGAAGCTATCTTAAAGTTAAAAACTTTAACTTATTTTCAATTAGTTTTGTACTCTCCATTATGTTTTGTATACAAAAAAGGAAGCTAATTTCAAGTTTTAAGGACTCTAGCTTAAAGAATTTTAAAATACTTTTAAACTTTTTTCGTATTATTTTTTTGTATGATTGACTATTTCGGATAGGAACAGTTCTTGGACCTGAATGTAGGTCCTGTTTTAACCCTAATTGACGGAACTTTTTTACCATTTCATTGATCAGGTCTACTATGAACAACTGGTCCTGCATCCGGAGGAGTGGATGCGCAAGATCCTGAAATTCCTGGACGTGCCATGGAACGATGCGGTGCTGCACCACGAGGAGTTCATCAACAAGCCCAATGGTGTGCCGTTGTCCAAGTAAGTCGTAATCAAACGCACTTTGTGATGGATATTCAACTAATTATCTAACCAAATCGCAGGGTGGAACGGTCGTCGGACCAGGTGATCAAGCCGGTGAACCTGGAGGCGATGTCCAAGTGGGTGGGCCAGATACCCGACGATGTGGTGCGCGACATGGCCGACATAGCGCCAATGCTGTCCGTGCTCGGCTACGATCCGTATGCGAATCCGCCGGACTATGGTAAGCCCGATGCATGGGTGCAGGACAACACGTCGAAGGTAAGGTGCAACCCGTCGGTTTCCGAATGCAAAACAAACACAAAACACTTCGAATCAGTCACTCCACTCCATGTTACCACTTTATCACCATCACCATCCGCATCCCCATCCCCATCCCATCCTCCAACACCAGTGATGCCCTCACATCCCTGTTAAAATAATAATAATAGTTTTTTTAACAGTCAGTAGTCTGATTTGCATGGAAATTTACATTATTTTACAGTAGTTTCTTCCTATTTTTATTATTATTTATTGATTGCAATGCAAGTAGAACATTATACATTTCTTTCTTTGTTCATTGTATATGAAGTAGTAATTTTGTGTCTGTATTATATGGTTTATGACATTATTTATCAATCAACTTTTTCCTCATTTATTGCCATTGTGGACTTAAGTTTCAATATACATTATTTATAATATATAAATAAATGTCTTGTATAATATTTATAATATATAAATAAAAGTCTTTTTATAGGTAATTATAAATATTCCCTTTTCACTTTTAATTCAAATTATTCAAATATGTTTTTATGTATTTGAATTTGTGCCACAAATGGAAATTAAAACGAGTCTAGGTAACATTTTGATGATAATTTGCATAACTGACTACGAATCAATTTGTCAAGAGCCTTCTTCTTTAAGGACCTTAGAAAAGGACACACTCCTGCACAGTTAGGTCTCATTGGCATCACTGTCAGACACAGGCAATTGCACTTCATCCCCAAAACATCACCACCCACCGAAATCCTTTGTTTTTGTTGTTTGTTGTTTGTCATTTTGCCAGGCTCTAGTTATCTTTCACCTTTTCCTTTGGCTCTGGGCCGTTCCAGTTGCCTGTGTCATTGGCATATTTTGCACTTGCCTGCACTTCCCCCTCGTCCCCTTCCGAATATCCTATATCTCCTATATGGTATGGTATCACAACCGCCCAAATCCCACCCACTTACATCACACATTGTGCAAGTTTTTTCTATCCTTCTACTCGATTTCGTTCTGTGTGTGCGATTTGTGTTTTGTGTTTTGCCTGTTTGTTTTGTGTTTTGCACTTTGCCTTCTCGTTTGTTGGTTGCACCCAGCGATTTTCCTTTATTTCAGTTCTTTTTGCCTTTTTTGTATTTTTCCTTTTCCAGCTACTTTGATTCATATATGTGGGGTATAGGGTTTGGGGTTACAAAGCGTTGAAACTGAAAGGAATATCATTGATCACGATGATAATGGGGATTCGTTGCCCACTTGGTGGCGCCATCTATTGACGATGGTATGCACATTGTGCGCAAACAGAAAAAAAAAATACAAAAACTATATGTATTGTAGCTTGTACGGGTTTTTTATATATGGGTAAATATGAATTTAATCGAAAGGTAGCAGTCTATCGAGGACCAGACCAAAAAGAATACCAGTTTTTCATATCACAAAAGTGCGAGCTATCGGAAAATAAATTTAATTTCATTATTTACTTAGCGCTTCCCGCTGAAATTTTTAACCAATCGAATCTTTTTTCACGCATTTTTTATTAAATTTCACATGCTTTTATTGCTTTTGTCCTATCAAGGGTTTTAAAAAAGTTATTTATTTATCCTGTTCCCAAGGGAAATTATAGTTTTCAACAACATTTTTTATAAAAAATGAAATATGTTCGATGAAATAATTTGTATTGTTTGGCTTATATTCTTGCAGGGATATTTAAGCATTTAATGGTTTTTATTGTTTTCTTAAGCATTAAAACATGTTTTACACAGTTGTTATCTTTAATTTAATTGGTGGTTTTTTCAAACAGTTGTACTGATATCGAAATATAAATACAAGTTTTTTTTACTCTTATTTGTTTACAATTTTCGCCTGTGAAAGGAATAACACATTAATAATTGACGAATAAAAATATCTAATTTTTTGAGCTTCGTTAAAGAATAACACATTGATGAAAAATATTATTAAAGTTTTACCGTTTTCTTTGTAAAAATCGAATGCATTATGACATTATATTGCTTAATCATTACCTTTGTTTTTACTTTTTTGCCGACAAAACTTGTTTAAGAAGTTCACCTATAGTTACTAAACTTTTTGAATAGCTAAGTAGTTAATTAAAATTTAATTTATATTCACGCCTTGCTTGCCTCTTGCCTTTTGGCTTTGAACAGAGAATGGAATATAATTAGTATTCATAATGTGGGCAAAGGATAAAAAGCGTTTGCCTGATTACTTCCATTTCAGTCACTGATTATTATTGGGCCAACAGCTGTCGCCGTTGGCTAGCTAGCCAACAGAATTTTCAACTAGCGTTTAATTGAAATTTTCGGTTTGCTTGGCCATTTTCACTGACCTTTCACCCCGTGTCCCCCCGTTTCGTTATTTTTTTTTTGTTTGTTGCCGTCAGCAGCTGCTGTCTCTGTTTGCAAGTGCATCCTGCTGAGTTATGTCCGGCGCAGCGACGCGTTAAATTAGCTGCTAATTAATTAGTCCACTCCGCGTTACTCCGCACCACTCGACTCGAGTGGCGTTGAGTTAACTCAAGTTGAGTTATCTCTGCGCTGATTTTTTGTTTACTTTTTACTCAGCACGCTGCACGCTGCACACTGCACGTATTTGTTTGTTCTGGCGCCCGGCTTAAGGAGTGTCTCCTAAATTAAAATTGCCACTGCAAATGGGAGTCCTATAAAAAATTAAGTGGCCAGCAATTCGCTTTTTGCACCGTCTGCTCATTTTTCGCCTGCACATTTACTCTAAACTGCATTGCCATTTTTTTTCTGACCTTGAGCTCGGTTTAAAACGGTTTTCATAAAATAAATTGGCAACCGTTTCATGCAATGAAAATCCAATTAGCATCTTATTTACAATTTAAACAGTAAATTCAAATAAATATTTTTGAACGATTTAAGGGTGTCATTTCAAATTAATTTATTTGTATCAATAATTCAATGGTGAAAAATTGGCATCAACGCATTTAAGTTACGTTGCCTTATGAGTAAGTTTATTTAGTTTTTGTTTTTAGTTTGAAGTCTTTCTTTTTCCACAAATATTTTTTTTTTAATTATTACACCAAAAGCTTTCATAATAAATAGCTTAATAAAATAATTGCAATAACAAATAAAGCTAGCTTTTGTTACTTTATACATTTTTTTGCTATTATCATGACTATCTTGCACTCGATTTAATGGCATTTTTCTGCTCGCTTGCTTTATTTTGTTTTTTATCATATAATATGAAGTGTCCCATAAATTAAAGAGACAATGTTAAAAAATGAAAATTTTCACTCGATTCAATGCACCTTTGGTGGCCTATTTTTTGACGTTGCCAGTGGTTTTTTTGGTTTTCGATGAAGTCCCCGATTTTTGTGCGTTTTTATTGGCCTGTCACAGGGACACTTTCTGTTTGACAGTTGCAATTGCAATGTTTCCGCGCGGCTGCCCCACGGTGGGCGGCAGTTTCGGAGGGGGCGTGGCCGCGGCATGATGGCATAAGTGGCAATTTATACATGCATGCCACCGGCAGATAGAGGATGGTGGAACGTGGGGGGTGAAATGGCCACCGGAGCCGGGCAAAGTTAAGTCAACTTTCGCAATCCCCGCCAGCTTGACAGGCATCCGATGCCATGCCAACCCAGCCACTGCTGCCATTTCCAAACCCTTTTTCCTGATGTCCTGATGTCCTGATGGCACTCGGCACACCGGTCAGTTATCCCATTCCTCACGATATCCCAGCCACGCAACGTGCCACGCAATTAATATCAATTGAAAGTCCGCCAATTTCATTATATTCCTTAATTTATGTTAATGGCAAATATTTTAATTAATTGACGGCTCTGCACCGCAACGCAACGCACCCCCATTTCCGCTTATCGGGCAGAGGTGTCTGGAAACATTAAATATTTTAAACATATTTGCATATTTAATATTTATGCAAAAATTAAAAAGCGACCGCCAGTTGCAGCGGGAAAATTAAAATCAAATAACGAGTCGTTAATACCCTGAGGCAGCGGGAAAAACAGAAGGCGAAATGAAAAATATTGAGGGAGTTGAACGGAAAACCGCACAAAGAAGGAAAATGTTGTGGAAATTACGTTTGCTCTGTAAAAACAAGAGCTTTTCTGCGGGTTCGTTAGCGAAAGATAAACAGAAATCAAATGGAAATCTAAAATATTTAACAAACAAAGGAATGGAGGAATTAAACGAAATTGAATTTTGTTTGTGGGGAGAAATGGAAAAAAAAACTATAAGAGTGTGTGGAAAATCGATTAAAGATAAAGACATGTGCGAAAAAGTAAAAACTAGTTTTAGGAAAGAAAAATATTTAAAAGCAAATTTTAAAGTGATTTTGAAAGACTTTTCAACATTTTCACGATCAACATATTTATGATTTTAAAAAATGTAAAAAAATAAATAATACATTTATTGCCCTTATCTATGGAATTATTATTTTTCTGTTTGAAGTATTAGATAAGTTAGTAACTAAAATCAAAAAAGCTTTTTCATTTTAGATCATAATAACTAAATAAGAAGGTTCATTAGTACTACACCCATTTAGAGGGTGCATAAAAAAAAGAACAAAATAAAAATTAGCCAATGAATTTTCGGAACTCTTTATCTTGCAACTTTTTGCGCTTTAATTTGCACACTGCGACATCGCAAAGTTGAACAACAATTTGTTGTGCTCAAAGTTTTCGCTTTGACTGCCACTCAAACGATGTTTTAACATTTTGCCACCGAAACGGGCAGCTGTTTGCCTTTGGTGTATAGTGTATGGTGTATGGTGCATGGTGTATAGTGCATGGTATATAGTGCGGCGGTTGCAGCAGCAACATCGGCCGTAATGAGGCGGCCATCAGCAGCAGCTGCAATTGCATGGGAAATACACGATTTTGAGGGCTTTGGGAGCAGATATACACATTTGTTTATATACGCATAAGTGCGCCCATTATGAGTGGATTAATTTGAATACGCTTTTCGGTTTTGTATCTACTTGCAGCTAAAGGCCAATCGAATGCTGTGGGAGAGTAAGGCTAAGCAAGTGCTGCACATGTCCAGCGAGGATGACAACTTCAACACCATCATCAACAATAGCAACAATAAGGATAACAGCAATAATAAGTACACAATCAATAAAATTCTACCAGAACAACACAGCAGACAGCGGCAACATGTACATCAGCAGCAGCAGCAGCAACATCTGCAACAGCAGCAGCAACAAGAGCATGGGCAACATGAGCAACAAGAGCAAAATGAGGAGGAGACCGAGTCGGAAAGGGAAGCGGAACCGGATCGAGAACAACAATTGTTGCATCAAAAGCCAAAGGATGTCATTACGATAAAGCAGCTGCCATTAGCCGGCACCAACAATAGAGAGGACCCCATGGCGGATACATGATATCCGCACATACCCATAAGACTGCCGCGTGGCAAGCATTGAACATGGAACATGGAACCTGGAACCTGAAACCTGGAACCTGAAACCCGGGACCTTGGCTGCCGATAAGGATAACGATAATGATAACTGTTGCGTTGCTGCTACTGCCGCTGCTGGAAACCCAATTTTAAATTGTATTAGCTGGGACATTTACACGCTTGATATGTGTATATGCATATGTTGTATTTGTACTAATGCTTCTTATAGTTACCAAAAAAAAAAAAAAAAAAAAACACAAAAAACAAAAAAGAAAACAAACGTAGTTAAAACTTAAGCACAGAACGTTTCGTGACGAAAAGACTTAAAGTTGCAGGGAGAAATGCCAATTTAAAAGCCAACCGCACCCTTAAATCCATATTAATTTAATTTATGCCTTAATGTCTCTTAACTGGATTTACCTTAATGTGGGCTGGGCGTTGAATTATTTAATTTATTGTGCAGTGAAACACTTCATTTGCTTCGTTTGTTTGTTTAAATGGTCATTGCAATATCTACTACCTTAATTACCGGCTAATCGTATTCAGTTGATAAGCTACTTAATTGAAATATTGCATTAACATAATTTAGCTGGAGCTCTGACTTAATGCGATTTATGTTATAATTTAAATGCGACTTATATCTGATAGTCTTACTTTTAATTAAACGGTTGGCATTCACCCCTTCCCCCGGCGTCTTACAGTCAAGAAACGCACTGTGTGTCCAAATCTTAATGAATGTGTTGCAAAAAAAAGCAAAATAGGAAAGCCACCATAAGAAGCTGAAGAAAGAACAAGGCGTAATTGCAATTGAAAGTCATTGCAGGCACTCACCGACCTCCTCTACGATTTAAATCTGAACTTTTTCATTTAGTTTAGATGTCTTTTTTAAGCCTTTTTTGTACTAATGTTTTTTGAGAGACTCGTGTCGGTTTATCACTTAGAAACTCTTTTTTTTTTATTGTATCGGTAATTGTGTATATAAACTATAAATATTTAAATTATGCTTCCCACTTATCAAATGAATCTCTAGCTGAACTTTGTCATTGGGATCTAGGAATCTATGTAGGTTTATATATGGAATACATAAAACTAGAACCTTAAGCACTGTTTATAGTTTGCAAAACGGTAGAGCGAAACAAAACGAAATCAATTTAGAAGTGTTGAATTTTAAACGAAAAGAGCTTTTAAGATGTTTAGTTTAATAATCATAACCGCATATGAAATATTTGCTGCTGATGACAAAAGAAAAAAAAGACGTGAACTAGTATAGAAATAATACATTTTTTGTAAACTTTTTTTTTTGTGTTGCAATAAATTGACTGAATGTAAAGAAAACCAATTTAATAAAAACAAAAATATATATATATATATAAATGTATAACTTCAACTGAATGTCTAAATGTATATGAAAGTTAAAATAGATTTTAAATGTTTACGTGTGCGTGCATGTGAGGAAGTAGTAAACGAAGTTAGCTAAGCTAAAACATTTGGTCTAGGAAATTTACTTCAAATTCAAATAGACATGGTAAATTAAGGACCTTTTGAACAGACTGTTCTGGCATTAAAAGATATATAAGTTAAATCAAAGAGCGAAATCACATGCTTTTTAACAGACTGTACTTAATAAGGACAATTGACACCTTTTGAACTAACTGTACACACTGTGCTTAAATTTTAAAACATCTCCAGCTCACTCAGTCATTTGAATTTGAAGTGAGTTGTTTTCTAGTTATAATCATAACTTGTTTTTGCCAAGGACCAGATCCTTGTACACAGACAGACACTCACACAGACACACGAGCCTTGTCCGTCCTAACTGCTGTGTGTGTGCGAACGGGATGGCGAAATTATGTAGTACTTACTTGCCATTGGCTTTGCGCTCAAAGAAAACTTTCCGAACGTTTGTTTTTGTGTTTTATTTCAAAGAAATGTAATGAGAATTGCTGACAATAATTAAGAAAAAACGATTGCTTAGAGGAAATTGAAGTTTATTTGATGGCGACGACGAGAAATCCGGCTTGCTCGCTAATAGCTAAGAGAATTTTATGAAAATGAAAACGAAAGTCAAACAGAGTGGAGAAAAGTTTATATAAATGTGTTCTTCTGTAGTCACAGAGTGGGTTGCAATCACAAAATTATGCAGTTTTGTGATTGGGAATCGCATTGAGTATGTGCACTATATATAAATATAAATGTGGTAAATGTGAAACGTAAACTATTTTTGCTAGCTCTTAAGATGCATTTTTTTTCTCAGTTTTACCCGTGTATTTATGTATTATGTATAACTCTCTAAATATATAGTACATGTACCATATACATATATTGTAAATTTTTTGTTGTTGTGGAATTGCTGCAGTTAGGACAGGAATCCGAATGCCGATGTTGAGAAACTAACGATCTACTTGCAGCTGACAGACAATCAGAGCTCAAAGGAACTATAAATTACACTATACACTATACACTACACACTGCACCCTCCCAGCAACCCCAAAATTATACCCACCCGTCGATCCCTAAATCCATGGAACCATAACGAAACGTATTTAGCCAATTGTAATCCACGAAAATAGGTTAACTGTACGCTGCAAAGATCCGATATGGAAACGAATTAATTCTAATCACAAGACATTTTCTGTGTGCAGTTTGTAGCCTAAGAAAATTGTACAATATTGTATTGATAACTACATCCTGGCAACAGATAAATGCAAAATCAATATAATAAATATATATATATTGACGAAATTATACAATACAAGAAAAAAAACCAAAATAAATCAAATGAGGAAACAATAAATGTTAAACATAAATATAAAAGTATGCAACCGAATAAGTTTTATTTACTTTGTTTTTAAACAAATGGGGAACATTTTTAGGTTTGTTTAAAAATGTTGTCTTTAAATTAGTAGTTGAAAACTTAGGAAAGCAATTTTATTAAATCATCTCTTAACGAGGTTTGAAAGTGGTGACGACCGCACTTTCAATATACTTCGATGGGACCATCACATCGGCACTACTTGTGCTGCGTAATGACGAATACACTTTCACGGCAGTTTTTTTTTTATTTGGTGCGCATCGTTACTACGTGAACTGCCGTCCACAGTGGTTCAAAATTTATGATATATGAAAAATAATATACTTTTTTCATTCCTTAATTGGTCTTAGAAAAGAATGTCCAATTCCGAGCATATTTGGGTGCAAATTCGGTTCTAGTCTTAAAAAACCGAGTCCATTTCAAATAGCCTGTATATGAAGTCATCAGTTTTTCATAAACCTTAACCCCCCAAGCATTCTTGCTTGTAATATTACAGTGAACCTCCATTGAGTGCATATTCCCCCATTATAAGAACGCCAATTTGGAAACCCGATCGATACACACAAACATGCACACAAACAACAGGAATTGTTCATAGATATGATGCCATAACACACTTTAATATCTTGATTGTTTCGCTTTTTCGTTTGTTGTTGGTTGGTTGGTTGTTTTTGGTTTTGGTTTTGGTTTTGCTAGTATTTGACTTAGTTGGTGTTGGTTTTGATGTTTTATTTTAAAGAAATCTTACATTTCTCGATTCAATAAAAAAGATGTTGAGTTTTTTGATTTTGAATAGCAAGTTGTTTTGGCGAATAAGCTAAGATATATCATAACTATTTAGTTCATTCTTTTACTTTTATTAAAATTGTTTGGCTTTGGTATTTAAATGTAGAGTGTTTGTTTTACGAAAAGTGGTGAAGGAAAGTGGTGGTGCGCGAGGGCGGGCCGAGAGAGTGTTTGGGTGGATTGGTCTATTCCTCCTCCTCCTCTTCCTCCTCCTCTTCCTCCTCCTCTTCCTCTTCCTCCTCCTCTTCCTCCTCCTCTTCCTCCTCCTCCTCCTCCTCATCCTCCTCGGCCTCCTCGTCATCCTCCTCGACGACCTCCTCCTCGACCTCCTCATCATCCTCGACGATGTCCTCATCGGCCTTGGCGTCCTCCTCGCCCTCGGGTGTCTCGGGCTCACCGGCCTTCTTGCCTGGTCGCTCGCCGAACCACTTTGGCAGTTTGGCTATATGGATAACAGATATCGGAACGGTTAACGATTATATATATACTCAAATAGGGTAACTAGAGAGGGGACTTCAAAACGGTAACAAAAAACAAAGAAACAAGAACACAGCACGACAATGAACAAATTGATGAATGTTGTTCTGTTGTTGTCGTCCATTAACAGGGTCATACATAGTTGATCCCCAGCTATAGAGTACATCCCAAGCTATCCGATCTACAGTACATACATTTTTGACGGCCGGTGTATTGCTCCTTCTTCTCGTTCCAGATCTTCTCGTTCGAGTCCTTGCTGATGGCATCCCAGCCCTGTGTGTGTCATAGTGTTTTGATCGTGTTTTGATGGGTGATTTAATAATGAGCACGGTACAAGTTGTGTACAGTTGGCAATTATGAAAAATAGTACATAAAACATAGAAAGAGATAAAAAGAGAGTAGACGTTAGGTGCGTTACTGGTTGTCAGCCCTCGAAATGGCCTATGAATAGCCCCCCAAGCTCCTATGTCAAATTCCCAATCCTTTGACGGGATTGTACTTCCAACTAGTGTTGCGAATTCACCACGCTTTGACGTGACTGTACTTTCAAGTAGTGTTGCGAATTCCCCACCCTTTGACGTAACTCTACTTTAGTAGTTTTTCGAACGCCTAACCCCTTGACGTGACTGTACTTTCGGTAGTAGTGGAACAAACAGAAAACATAGTTTATGACATAAACATAAAACAATAGATATAGATAGATAGATAGATAGAAAGAGAGACATGTAGACATGGAGGGCCCAGCGGACGCTTACATTTTGTGCGCTGAGTAAATCTTTCCTGTCTTTCTTGCCAGGTCTTTTCTAAGGTTTCCGCATAGACCGTATTATAGCCCTATATAGGTGCGTACAATATTGAGAGAGTTTTACAACCCGAACAAAAAAAATACCCAAGCATTGTTGGCCTTTGGAGAAAAGGAAACCAAATACTTACACCCTCGAAGAGCTTCTTCTTGTCATCATATGAGCGGGTGTCCACACGTCGCTCATACTTGGAGGCGACTTGAATCTTGGGCTGTAATCAGAGTACCACAGGTTAGCTGGGATTGCGATATTTGAGTGAAGTTCTTACCGGGTATTTGCCAGTCAAAGCTTCTGGGTCGAGACCCTTCTTCAAGGCTTTGTGCCTGAGCTGTTGCTTCTGTCTTTCCTTCAACTCTTTCAACTGTCAGGTGAAAGATGGCTGTCAAAATGGGGATGTCTAGGATAATGATGGCTATTCCGGTACTCACATCGTAGTCCTGACGTTTCTGCCTTTCTTCCAAGTCATACTTCTCAGTTTCCAATTTGACAATGAGCTCCCACAGTTCCTGGGCCTTCTCGCGCAGCTTGGACTCTCCGAATCCTTCAATGGCCAAGGGCTTGATGCGGAACGACAGCGAGATCTTCTTCTCCTCCTCCAACTGTTCCTTAGTCTTGTTACGTTCCATGGCGGCGGACGAGAGTCCCAACTATTTTTTGTTTCATGTGGCGAATTTTTTTTTTTTCGTTTTTTTTTTTTTGTGGTTCGAATTGATTTTTGCGCAGGATGCATTTTTAATATTTATTTTTAGTTGATTTTTTTTATTGCAATGCAGACACATTTCGTTGTGTTTTTATTTTTCGTGTTTTGGTTGGTTTCGGATTTTTGAGATTTGATTTGCGGTACGTGCGGTACAAACGTGGTGAGAGAGACAAACAGTGAGAGAGATAGACACACACAGAGAAAAGAGCGCAAAAAGAGTGGAAATTGTTTGTTCATGTTTTTTGTTTGTTTGTTTGTTTGGTTTGTGTGTGTGCATGCGTGTGTTGTTTGTTTGTTTGTTTGTTGTGTTGTTTTGTGTTGTGTTGTGTAAAAGAAAAAAGAAAACAAAATTGTGTTTTGTTGTTTCAGTTTCACATTTGAAGTGTAGTGTTTTTAGAGGCATATTTTTAGGCGATTAACGATTGAGAAATGTCAATATGATCGATTTATGCAAACACAAACGGTTAACGATCGTGAATTTTCGATGATATCAAATACAGTGAACGATGAAGTCGAACATAAACGATTGACGGTTGTTCGTGGATGTTCGATTTAGGCGCAACACAAACGATTAACGATAACAAATGATCGATGAGTTCAAAAACCGACGATTAATGCGATTGATGGAAATCGATTGATACGATGGGTTGTGGGTGGTTGGTTGTGTGGGTGAACATATGGAATCAATAAGAAATCAAAAAAAGAAGAAAACAAAAACGGGAAGAAAGAAAGAGAGAGACAGATGGGGCGGGGTGGGGGGTTTTGTTGGGGGAGAACGGTGGCGTATCAGCAGCCGGCATTGATGGAATCTCATATAATTACCACGCCTGCATCCTTCTTGGCAATGGTGAAGTTGGGGCCCTTCTTGTCCTTGTCCTTCATGGCCTGCAGCATCGCCTGGCGCTTCTTCTCGGCCTCCTCGAGGCGCATGCGCTTCTCCTCGATCTCGCGCTGCTTCTTCTCCTCGGCCTCGCGGACACGGCGCTCCTCCTCCTCCTTCTTGCGCTGGGCCATCTTCTGCTCCTCCTCGGCGCGGGTGACCTTGCGCTTGGCCTGCTTCTCCTTCAGCTTCTTCAGCTCATCCTCCTCCTTGGATCTCTGTTTGCGCCACTCGGTGATGTATTCTTTCAGCTGATCATCGAGGTCGGAGCGCTTCTGGTCCTGACGCTTGATGAACTCTGGGTCGCCCTCTCCTCTGATGATCGGAACGGTTCGTTTCGGTTGTTTAGGTTCGGGAATGAGAAAGCACTTTATTAGTTCAATCTATCGAGCAGCACTCTTTTTCTTTGTTTGTTTTTCGATAGCCACTAGTACTACGAATAATGTCTAGGTACTAAAATTAATTACAGAATTTTGACGGAATTTCTTACGGCCTGTTTTTTGTTTTATTTTGTAATTATATTTTTATTATTTGGTTCGATTTGGTTCCGAAAGTCAAAGAGTTGTTTTTACAATTAGTAGCCACCAAAGTGCTGATGTGAGAAAGCATTAGATTTCTACATTCTACGTATGGCAATACTACTCTAGTTATAAAAAAAAAACAGAAACAGAACAGAAACACACCAAAAAAGATTGGGATTGCTCGATGGCACTGGAGTGGTGAGTTGTGGTGAGTAAGAATTTGTGTTTGAGTAGTGCTTGCTACAGAGGTACAGTTTACACCTTAGAAATAATTTTTTTTTAATAAATGTTTTGCTTTTTTAAATGGTTTACTGACACGAACAGGCGGATTAATCGGGGGACGATCTTAACATAACACTAGGGGTTTAGTCTTGGTTAGCATTCTGGTTTCATTTGTTGTTCACATTTGTTTTTTGTACATAGACTTACTCGGCTGGTGTCTGAGGTGGTTTTCTATACGTGAGGCATTGAGGTGGCAACAAACATGGAGGTGGTGATATTTTTATTTATATAATATATATATATATATTGGTTTTGTGTTTCAAAAATTGACAAATTCACGATGGTTTCGATTGATTGATTGATTTTTTGTTGTGGGTTTCGATTCGAAAAGTTCATACAAAATGCGATTGTTTTCGTTATTTCAGTTTCAAACAAAAAGGAACGTTGAAAAGAAAGAGAAAAACGGTTTGTTGTTTTAAAAAATTCATTTGCAAAATAGTTTGGTTTGTTTGTTGTTTTGTTTTTTTTTTTGGTAAACGAAATGAAAGAAGAAGATAAGATGGAAAATATATATAGAGAGATATTTGCATAAAAGGTTGAACAGAATATTTAATTTTGTAATGGTAGGTACGTAATTGTTTTTTGTTTGGTTTTGTTTGTTGTTTTCTGGTTGGTTGTTGTTCTAAAGAAAACTCAAAAATGATTCCAAGCAACGAATCTTTGTACAGTATGAACTGGAACTGGTACTGGAGCTGGTTCTGGAACTGGAACTGGTTCTCTGATGCATATGGAGCAGAAATGTACACACAGAAACTTTGGTAATTTTTCACAAATTTTTTTGTTTTTTTTTCGGAAATTGGAAAACGAGCATACAGTTTTTGGGGCAGGCAAAGAGTAATTTGGAAAAAAACTTTTATACAGATATTTGGAATTTTTATAGGTCTTTCTTTCTTCTTTTCATTGGTTTCTCACTCAATTTACTTACTTCCTGCAACAAGAACGAGATCAAAAAGAGATGGAAGAGAGAAAGAGAGAGATAAACATAGTTGATATCATTGATTTCCAAATCTTAAAGGCGACAACATTTTTGCTAAGCCAGGCCAGCGATAGGCGAAAAGTTAACTTTTTGTCAAAAGTATTGTTTTTAGAATTTAGAAATTGCGTTTTACGGCTTTGGAAATAAATTATCTTGTGGGGAGTCGGGAAATACGATGGTAAAAATAGAAAGACAGATAGACAAAAGACGTGTTACAAGTAATACAAAAATACACACTAAAAAACCGGCTGCGTTCAAAATAGTAGTGCACTATAAATATTTATTAAGCAATTTTATAGTCTTATTTTGCCAAATGCTTTTTATGACAATTTTAGATTTTGGAAATCATATTGATTTGGGCATACATTTTAGTACACTTTGTTTTTGTGCTTTAAATAATTTTAAATTATGTTACTTTTTGGTATTTTTAAAGACCCACTACTATTATTTTGAACACAGCTGTATACATATGTGGGTGGTGGGGGATACACACAGCTTTTATATACACAATTTGCCAATTTTTCGCTAGGTTTTCGGGGGAAGGTGTATGAAACTATGAACTCGCTGCTTGAGTAGGTGTGGGTGTGAACAGTGGGTGGGTGGGGGTTTTGCTCTCGGGTTCCATTAGTAAATTTTGTACAATTATCGGATACTGATTTTGTGATTTTATACTTTTTATTGCAATTTCAATTTCGGTTTTTATAGACACACACAACAACACATTGAAAACAAAAACCAAAAGAAATAACAAAAATGTACACAGAACAGAAAATAAAATCATAATTATAAAATTAATAAACAAATAAAATTATTTACAGACGAGTACACAAAACAGAATTGTTGGGTTGGTTTCAGGTTTCAGGTTTTTCTTTTTTTTTTTGGGGAATACATATTTCTACAAAATTTATAAAAATGTTTTTTTTTCGCAAACATTGACAAAATACAACACATATAGAAAATTTTGAAAAAAAAGATTGTGGGGGCGGGGCAAGGTTTCGGTTTCGAAAAAAATCAAAAAATTGGTTATAGTTATGACATAAAAAAAAAAATATATAGACATAAGTGAACACCAATCGAGTTCTTTAGGCTGCTGCACCAAAACCAACAAAAGATGTCGACAAAAATTGGCAACAAAAATGTACTTACGTCTCCTCGCGGGTCTCCTCGACAACCTCCTCCTCCTCGGAGCTGCTTTCGAGTTCGTAATTAAACGAATTTTTGTTTTATATATTTTTTTGGTTTTTGGATATGGTGTTTTTTTTTTTTTTTGAGTGAAAGTGCAGGGATACACACGGCACACGGGTGCAGAAGTGATATTGTTGAATTGTTGTTGAATTGTCGTGTGGTTGTTGTTGAATAGTTGTTGATTGTTATTAGTTGTTGATTTCAAAAGAAACGAAACGACAACATTAGCGGTTGATCGAACAGATTCATGGGTTTGTGGTGGTGGTTGTAGTGGTTGTGGGATCGTGGTTCGGTTTCGGTTTTGGATTCGGTTCGGGGGTGAGAAATGCGTGGAAATAGACAGAAAGGAGTACAGATCAAAATAGGTGCCACTGGTAAACGTGATTACAAAAATTCTTTTACAAAAATCTAGTCTTTGAATTAGTTAGTATTAGAAAAAGGGTTCAAACGAGACCTTCGAATACTTCTCTTTAGATTTGCTACTTTACTTAATTTACAGTTTACAGTTTACTTTTAAATTTACACACTTTTTAATCATTTTCGCGGTCATATGCGTCGTATACTTAATATTTGCATCGCGTTCTCTTTAGCATAAGTTCTACTTACGTGTACTCTTCATCGTCGGACATGGCTACGGTTTAGGGTTGAAAAAACCTGCAATGAGAAAAGAAGAAAGTTTGCATTTAGTCACAGTTTACATTTTATATGACAAAGCAATTTCCATATTTAAGATTTGTCTATGTTATAATAGGAAATGGAGTTGATATTTTATGACAAAGTTTAATTTAATTTGTTACTTTGCAAAAATAGTCCATCTCTACAAACTGTTAAAAACGTATTCAATTACTAATACGACAGAACAATATTCAATATAAATCTGCCACTACTTTTTTAATAACATTTTGTATTATTATTATTATTTTTCAACAGCATCACCAACACTGTATTTATTTGAAGATGAAAAAGGCTTTAAAAGATATGATAATGTTAATTTAAAATTGTCCTTTCAAAACCACATCTTCTTTTTCCTTCAGAGTTTCACTGTACCTTCAGCAGCAAAAACAACAAACAAGCGCCTTTGATTGCCTTGCTTCAACTCTATAATTAGACGGATCTGTCCCCTATATAAACGTTTGTTCAGGGATATATATGCCGTGAATATGTAGGCAGGGAGACCTGTCTTTATATAGCCGGCAACAATGTCTCGTTCTCACATCATAATCTTCCACAATCCAAAAAAAACGAAAAAACCAAACAACAACGAGTTCCGTACGCTTCGCTCTAAAATTATTTAATTTTCTATGCTATCTTTATCTACATCCATATCTATGTGTGCGAGAAAGAGGGCCAGAGTCTATGTATATCGGTGGTTTTCCTTTTCCTAAGATTTTTTCTAAATTAAAAATAGACTTTGGGGCACGTATTGAATTTCCCGAAAGCCGAAAGCTTCCGAAACATCCGAAAAGCTTCGGCGAAAGCCTTTTTTGAAAATTTTGTATTTTTTTTACCTTGGCACTAAATCTAGAAAAGCTTTCGAGTTTATATATATGTTTTTTGGGCGTGCTTGTGTGAAAAGAAAAGCAAATTAAAGTCAAATACCATTCATAGATCGCATATATTATGCCAATTATTATGCCATGACATTATATATATTTGACTGTGCAAAGATGTCTATAATTTCATAATCTTTGCGAGATTGCCTTAATTTTTATGCATTTTCGTTTGAAAATGCATTTTCTGGGTTTTATTTTTAGCCGCAGACAAACTGGGTCAGTTTAAGGGAGTTGTTTGGCGATAAAGAAAATTTAACTGTGAAGTTAATTTTCTCTGAAGAATATTCATTTAGCCTCTAAATTATTTTTTATATCTCCCCTTTGTTATTTTAACCTCAAAGTTACCAGTGAATAGATCATCCGATTAATCAGATGTAGAAAAGATTTTAAAAGTTATCATTAGATCAACCTACAGATAGTGACTTTCATTATAAACAGTTATTTACAAAAACTAACTACTTTATACATTATAGTTGTATCCTTTTTGCTCGTTCTTTTTAATTTCTTTCTATTTTCAAGTTCATGAAATGAGAAAAGAACCAACTTCCTGTTTAATATTATTCTACTTTCACATTTATCGTTTTTTAATTTTCAATAAATATTTGCACCCCATTTAACCCTATACTTGTACACACTCTTTTCCAGCTCTTTCTCTCTATTAACCCATCCGTTTCCATCTATAGTCCTACATATTCCAAAAATCTCCAGAAATCTATTTCCCAGCGATCGTGTGTGGGTGGCAATTGTTCCGTCTCTTTCCGATTTATATATCTCTAATATCTGAATTGGCGCCTGCGCCGAAAGCTGTAGAAAAAAGTTTTTACCCTGCTTGTATGTACGTGCGTGTGTGTGTCTTGGACATTTTGCCAAGGTAACACACACACACACACGCGCACACCCATACAAAATGAATTTATTTTTAAAATTCGTTGAAAAAAAAGAATTAAAGAACTTTTCCTCTCAGATCATATAACACATCGAGAACTGGTTGAATATATATATATATATATATATATATATATATATATATATATATATATATATATGTATTCCTGTATGGTATTGATGTTGGTTTTGTTTGTTGTTGTTGCTGCTGCTGATCCTGTTGTTGTAGTTGCTGTTGAATATTGTTGTTGCCGTTGCCAATGCCTGGGCGAATTTGTTCAATTTATTTTTAGCCTTTAGCCGTCGAAAAAAAAAAGTTAAAAAAAAGATTTTTGAAAAAAATAAATGGATTGAAATGTTTTAGAGTTTTGTTTTTGGCTTTCAAGTCATTTTATCACACTATTCATTCTTTGATTTCACTTTAAAAAAATTTAAAAAAAAGGATGTTATATAACACTAAAGTTTTCCAATTCGTGGCTTTATATTGTTGATTTTTGGTTCGTGGTTCTTTTCCAAAGGATTTGGTTATCTTTTCTTTTTTTTTTTTTTGTAAACTTTTTGTTTTTTAGACACACTATTTTATTTTATTTGATTTTTGTTCTTTCTTGATGATGCAGCAGTAGAAGGAGATGTGAAGCAGCAGTAGAGCAGAAACAGAAAAAAAAAAACTTACTTAGGGAGAAAAACAAATTGAATTGAAGTCCGAGCAGCTGACGTTGTAGGAGCGAATGCTGCGGTTCGACTAAACAGACTGACGATGAAAAGCGCTGCTACACGTTATGTTAAAGAATTTTTCGTCGCGTTCGCGGAAAAGCCATTTCCACGCACACACCGATCGCCTTTCTATATAGCATATAGCCTTCGCATGGGTGCGAGGAGGCCGGCGATATCGCTGGCCGATGTGGCAACAAGTGGGTGGTGGGTGCTGTGTGGGGTTGGGCATTTTTCAGGTGGGCTGCAGCTGAAACATAAACTTGTACGCACGCACACTGTGACACCCAGTTTTCCGAATTTTCCAATTTTCCATTTTGGCCAGAGCGAGATGCGGCATCCTGTATGTGGCACACGCACATAACTAGATCATAAGTATATAGCCATATGGACGGTCTAAAGCGTTGGCGGCTTTTTACACATTTGTTTTTGGAATCAAATATCGTAGAACATAAATTTCACAGCCATTAAAAAATCGGCCTGCATATATTTTTCGTGTTTGTACGTGGGCAATATACATACGTATATAGCACATATAATTAGGATTCCACAACGGATCGTTGCAGCATTTGAACCCCAGAGTGCACGCCCTACAAACTCTCCCCTCCAATCCCTCCCCTCCCCCTTCCGCCCCTTTACCAATACATTTATATATATATATATATATTTATTTACCCCGTCTATATCGCGATCGGACTGCTGACGTCGAACGGCCTTAGGTGGCCCCATCGCATTGCCATTTGTCTAACACTTGAAACTATTCGTCATTGTTCCGATTTTCTTTTTTTATTTCTCTCCTTTTGCATTGTTATTTTTTTATTTTCCTTTCCAACAGATACTTTCGCCAAATAGTTCTAGATACCCTTACGCACCTGATGGCCTTTGGTTTTGGCTGCCGATTTTGATTCACTCTTGAATTACTTGACTATGTGCTAGGTCAATCTACAACAAAAAAAAAACGAAAATAACTCTCTAAAAGTAAACAAATACTTGCTACACAAACTATTCATTTTGTTGCAAAATCATTTTATTCATTTTTATCATCATGCAATATTACAATTTATATCCTTTAGTCATTTATGAACCCCTTTAAAATTCTCAAAGCAATATTCAAAAATCTCCGCTTTAAATGAATTGAGTTTTTCATGCTCAGTCAATTAAAAAACCAATAAGCTATGAATATAAAACAATGTTTCAGATATCAATCTTTAAACAAATGCCATCTTTAAACAAATGCCTTTAAAAACCGATATTAAATTTGTACCAATATGCTTGGGTTTTATTAATTGTTATTTAAAGCCTGAACAATATTTTAATCATATATACAAATTTTAGTTTATTCGGTAACAAATTTAAACAAAATCATTAAGAAATCGACTTGTAATTATTATGTGTTCTGAATATTTCTAAACTAAAAATATTTTTTAATTTTTATAATAAAAACTATAGTAAGTAAAACAATTTAAAAATTCATAACTTGTAAAAGTTCCAATAAAACAGTGCATGAAAAAAATTAATATTTAAGGATAATAATAATAATTTCGGAAACAATTTTGCAAGCTTATTTAATTTATTGTATTTATTTAAAAAAATAAAGTTGAAGCTGATAAAAATAAAAGCATACGGTTATGTTTAAAAATAATCGGGGTGAAAAATTATATATACAAGCAACACTTGTTTTATTGAAATAATAAACATTTAAATGATTTAATAATGCTATAAATGAAACCTTTTTTGTTTTTAAAATTTGCATTAAAAATCTGTAATGTAAATACATGACTATAATATATAAAAAATATAATTTTGCAAAATTAAACTATTGCTATCATTGGTTGTAAATGTCTTTCTTTTTTAATTAGGTTATAGAATAAATTCGACTTCTAAATGTGATAGATTAAATACTATTATATAGGAAATAAATATTGTGAAACCACTTATTATAATATGCATTTATTTTTCCCATGCAGTAAAATTACGTTATATTCCTTGAGTTTCGCCTTTTGTTTTGATTTCGTTTTTGGTTACCAAGTCTCTTAAATTTAGAACATTTTTGTATCTGCACGTATGCGAATTGCACACAGCGGATACAATATAGTATATATGGGTAGTCCGGATCGGTGTAGGTATTATGCATGGCCTGCCAAGAGCCACAGAATCGCCATGGGACACAGGTGGGCATGGACATGGGAATGGGCAGGTCGATTTATCTGGGAAAGAGTGCATGAACAGATCTGGGGATCCATGTATCTAATCCGACATCTGTAATCGCTTTTCGGGGCTATTCGGTTGCCATCTGGCCTGGATTTGGATTTGGATTCACATAACATTTTCCGTTCGATAAACAACTGTGAACTTATGACGAACATCGGGCCAAATAGTTCAGTAATCCGTACACCGAACTATAAGTACGGGCATGTGTGGATGTGGGCTTTTGGGTATGCCTTCAACTAAATTTCAATTCGCATCATCTTCCGAAAATCTGAAAATCAGAAAATCAGAAAATTAGAAAATCAGGGAATAACAAATAGCACAGTTTCGAATTTTTGTTGTTCTATTTTTGGCCATTTTGTGTGGGCGCTAACGTCTGTAGCCTTCGGTCTTTAGTGCCGATCGTATGCACGAAGCCCCCGATATAAATATATATTACATATTAAAGTATGCGCGTATATGTATTTGTTTAAGTATCTTCTATATGTCTATCTATAGGCTAGCTTTCTGGGGCGATGTTTACGGGCAACTGTGGGTAATATCTGCATAGAAGAATAACATAAACATTATCCAAGATCTGGACAAAAATTTAATTTTAGACGAGCTAGCCCAAGGAAATCATGAATTGAATAGTTATAAAAATCCCTACAAATATTATACATAAATCATAGTTTTAAGTGCATATTTTGCATTTCAAACATCATTTAAGAGCAAAATACGAATTTTTGGTCATATTAAAATTTCAGTCAGCCGATTATAAGCTTTCTATTATTAGCTAAAAATGTATGTGTCATATTAAATTCATGAATTATTCCAGAACCGTGTTCCATTTTGTTTTCATTGAATAAGATTGTCACGGATCAGGTCAAGCAAACATATTTTGTAAAGAACAAACAACCGATTCTTGTCAATTTTAGACTCTATATGTTCAATGTTCGATTTAAAAATACGCTCTAACTAAATTAAATGAAAGCGAACAAAATCAAAAAAAGAAAAACAACGGAAAAATCCATAAGAAAAAAACACATTGAAGAAATGCCGAAAAGAAAACAACAGAAAATATAAAAACGTTTAAGAAAGCCATCATACACAGGCGGTTTATATAGTATCTATGCTCTGTCTACTATATGTATAATATTACACGTTTATTTTCAGAATTTGTTTTTGACTTCATTTTTGGCTTGTTGACACTTGGAAAAACTTAATTTCAAAATTACTATCTCAGGCTCAGTATTCAAGCTAACATGGGAAGTTTTTGTGTGTCAACATTTCTTTTTTGTTTTGGAAGCGATTTGGTTAGCTTTATTAGGATAACCAAACCAAGCTGGTAAGTTTTGTTTATAAAACTTTGCTCTTATATGTGCAATCTTGATGAAACTGTTTTTTTCTGAAGCATACAAAAAATTACTTTTTTTTTATTTCGACCCTTAAAATCTACACAATACCTAAGAAACATAATATGCAAATAGAAAAGTCTATTGTTATTAAGCTTTAAAAATAAATGGTGCATTTTGCCTTTGGGTCGATATTCAATTCAAAAATCAATATTTTATGCGTTTTTTTTATGCAACATGGCAAAAAAATGAGTCACAATTGACAGAATAACTGTTTTGCATAGCGTTCTACACTAATTTAAAAATTTATAATTTTTGCCAAATTTTTGCATTTTTTATAAGGGGTAACATCAAAATGTTTTCCAAAATGCTCAAAAACTTAAAGTGTCTAAATAAAAATGACAATTTACTGGGTCGATTTTGGAATGGGAACTTTTGACAAAAAAAAATGATTTGAATGAGAATGGACTTGGAATTTTATTACGAGCTTAACAAGGTAGGCCTTTTCAATATTGGTCTATTACTTGCGTTGGAATAGTGAATAGTCTATATATTTAGTTTAGCTAAAATACACACAAATATTTTTATTGTTTTTTAATAATTTTGAATTAACCCTTAGAAAGTAACACGACCAATTTAAATGTTACCGCCATTCTATCGAAGTGTAATCGCACAGCGAACAATCGATAGCGTCGTTACCAAAATCGAACCAATCGATAACCGGCGATTGTCTAATTAGAGTAAAAAATTAAACACAAAAGATTGTTTTTGATGCGGAATTAGCCAAACCGGGGCAAAACAATATCATTTAATTGCGAAAAAAGAGTGCGCAGTGGGCGAGCACAACAACAATTGCGTTGCGTTGCGTTGCGACACGTGTGCGAGCGAGAGGGCCGATGCGGTAGTGGCCAAACCGATTGCTCCGGATTCCATTCGCAACTAATAAAAAAAAAGAAAAAAAAGAAGAAAACCCCTTTTTTTGGAGGACACCGCGTGCTCCGTGCAACGATGGCCAGCGAGCCGGAGAACAAGCCGCCCATCCTGCACATCCTGGTGGTGGGCTTCCACCACAAGCTGGGCTGCCAGGTGGAGTTCTCGCACCCGCCCCTCATCTCGGGCTCCACGGGACGCCACGAGTGTCCCTCCGGGTGGAAGTACCTGCCCACTCTGGCGCTGCCGGATGGCTCGCACAACTTTGCCGAGGACACCGTGTTCTTCAACCTGCCCAGCTTGTATGAGCCGGCGGCGAGTATTTACGGGGTGTCCTGCTATCGCCAAATACCCGTGGAGAAACTGAAGATCCGGACGGCGGACGTCACACGGAGCACGGTGCAGAAGTCTGTGTGCATACTGGCGCGCCTGCCCATCTACGGGTATATTGAGGTCAAGCTGGCCCTCATTGCCGACGCCTTCTTCGACCAGGGCGACTTCTCGTGCACGGAACTGCTGGTCAAGGCCTACCAGCAGCTGAATGCCTGCCTCCAGGACGACGAGTCGCGCCGGCCACTGCGCCACTTCCATGTGGGTCTCTCGCTGCGCGAAATAGTGCTGCACTGGCGCCACAAGTCGCTCATGCTCTTCAAACTCCTGCTCCTGCAGCGACGTGTGGTGTGCTTCGGCTCGCCCGTCCGCCAAATGTGCGTCCTGATCCTGGGCATGGCCTCGCTGGTTCCCCGCCTGCTCGAGAAGGGCTTCCAGGAGGTGGCCTGTGTGCGCACCTCGCGACCCCTGTCGCCCATGCCCGACTTCACCGACTCGCTGCAGCGCGAGGCTCTGGCGGAGGCGGAACTGGAGGCAGTGCCTTCCGTGGGAGGAGGAGGAGAAGAAGCAGCAGCAGCAGCAGCTGGTCACGAAGATGGTCAGCAGAAGCTAACGCCGGAGAGCGCCACCGCGACGGAGGGCGACGCCGAGGAACTGGCCCTCGTCTCGTCCGCAGCCTCTGCCGGCGAGGAGCAGGCCAGCAGTGATGACACCTCGCCGCGTTCCACACCCAACTCACAGTCGCAGGACTCGTCGAACGGCAGGAACAGCTCGCTGACCAGAGAGGCCAGCGTGGACACACTGGCGTGTGAGTAGCTGACCAAATAGCACTCCCTGTTCCCAAATTACATAGTTCTTACTTTGGTCATATGCTATTGAATTACTCATAAGAGAAGTTGTTGTAACGTAACATAACATATTTTATATGAAAAATAGTCGGAATAGTGGTTTACATATGTATATAAAACAATCTGTTTAAAATAGCTTTTAAACTCAAATGATTTGACTTATACGACCCCCGTGTAATAATATTACATTTAAGCCATTAACAAAATTATAAAGCAATCTGTTTTATATTGCCCCTAAATTCAAATGACTTCACTAATATGACCGCTGTTAAAAACTAGTATATTAATGACACTAAAAGCTAACTATTTTTGAAATGATTGACCCTTTATTAAATTAGTTTTTCTCTCGATTGAATGCCACTTAATACCTCGTATATCAGTCAAAATAGGGGTTTACTTATCTGTTTTATATAGCCTTTAAATTCGATTATATAATATGTGACCCATTAAATAACTGTATCAATTGCTTGACAATGTCTTAAATCTCTTTCTCCGCAGCCAACCTCGCCGCCCTGTGCGCCGTGAACCCGGATGAGTACCGGGCACCGGTCAGCATCTTCGCCAGCGGCAATCTCTGCCTGCCGTATCTGTCGCTGCCGTACATGGACCTGCTTAGCGATCCGATGGTGCTCTCCTATGTCATCGGCACCTCCAATGTGCTGTTCCAGCAGAAGCGTCAGCTGGCTGACGTGCTGGTGGACATCGAGGCGGCCAATCTGGATGCCCACGATCCGGAGGTGAGGCGCCAGCTGGTGCTGAGCACCGAGGACCTGCGCTACATGGACTACATCATGAAGCACGTGCAGTCGCCCAAGGAGGATGCCGAGGGCAGCGAGTACTGGATCCGGGAGCAGTTCCAGGGCTACATTCTGGCCCTCTTGCGCACTGCGGTGGCTCCAGGTTGGTGTGCACCTTGCTGCCTACAATTGCTTCCTAGAATTGCTTTTAAAATATGACATAACTACAGATGCCACGCCCAAGGACAACGATCATTTCAATGCGCATTTCATGGGCGCCTTCAAGCGTACGCAATGCTTCCAGGAGTGGTACGATGTGAGGCCCGAGCCGGAGTTCTTTGAGGCCCTGCCCGCTGGACATCCCTTTGCTGGCACTTTGTCCGTGGCGGACATGAAACTAAAACTAGCACAGTGAGTGGCAAACTGAATCAATCACCAAATAAACAAATGAGGCGAAGCATTTAGTTGTTATTTCATAAACTTGCCAACAAGCTAAAATAGTTTAATAAATATACATAAGCTTATTCAGTTTAGATTGTAAAGTCTCGAATTATGAACGTAATTCTATTTAGAAATTCCACATCAAAGATTTTATTTATAAAACTAAGTACTTGGTTTAATGTACATACAGAAAGTGTCAAATTCTCTTTATTTCTAGGCGGTTATTATTCTTTAATATCCTATAATGTTATGCCTTACAACAAAGACTTTGCTGGCAATAAGTAAATTGAACACAGAAAGTAACACATACTTTTTCCCCTTTTTCTCAGAACAATGCAAAACAGTGAGAGTGGACGGAAGATCAACCAGGCGGTGAACACCACGAGCAGGGCGGTGGGCGGTGCCATCTCGCAGGCTAAGGGTGCCTTCTCCAGCTGGTGGTCATCCATCACGACGGCGCCGGCCAATGCGAACGCTGCGCCCGCGAACGGCGCCAATGGCCAGGAGGTCGTTGCGAGCGAAGGAGGAGCTGCCGTCCCAGAGATCTGCAGCTCAGTTACATTCCAAAACCACAAGGATGCCGAGGACCTGGACATGGCGGGAGTCAGCATCCACCTGGCTGGCCAGGAAGAGGCACACGAATCGCACGAATCGCACAGTGCGAGCTGTGAACAGTCGCAGGGCATCGTGGAGATCGGTCGCGAGGCGGAGCTGCTAAACAAAGCCGGTCAGTCCGATCATCCCGATCAGCCGGATCAGTTGGAGGAACCCAAGATCTCGACCGTGGCCGCAACACAAGCCGGTCGGCCCGGCTGTGGCGGCAATGTGGCCACCTCCGCCGTGGAGCGCAGCAGTGGCGATGTCTTCATTGTCTGAGGACGTCAACTGCAACATCAGCACGATCAGACATTGTATAAACTCGAACTAAGCTTAATGATAAACGATAATTATTTATTATGCAACAAATTGTCTCAGTCTCAATGTTGAATTTATATCTACTACTTGTACTCTCTCTTTTTTTTTTGTGTACCTATTGTATATTCTGGAGCAGGTCGACTTGTACTCAAAATCATAGGGATTAACGCCACATTTTGTTTCTTTCAATCATTGAGGCATTCCTAATTCCACATAAAACAGTGAAATTCGTATCTTAAAAGTCAAACTATAGTGAGTTCAAATGTATTTTTCAGTTGTATATATATGTTGTGATAAGTTTTCATTTAAATCCATTTCAATTTATGTACAGTTGTGGTCAAAAGTGTTTACACAAGTCAAATGAAAAAAAAATGCTTACAAATTGTGCAAATACTTTTGACTTTAAAGTGGAAGTTCAATCTGAACTTATGATCTTTGCTTAATATGGCCTCTAAAAATTCTTGTTTCTGTTTTGATTTTTACCTGCTATATTTGTTGGCACAAGTCAGTCCAGCTCCCAATTGGCCAAAAGATAATATTATTTAATATTTATATATATGCCTACGCTTAAGTTATCCTTGCCGTCTCCACCCACCACTCAGTGTATATGTGTAACCATGTAAAGCTAAACCGTTCCAAGTGCAATTTGTAATCCAAAAACGACAGCGTAATTCGTGTGGCAATAAGCAACTTAAAGAAATCTGATATTATGGGACTCGGTCGAGAAGTCGCCCTCTTTGTCCAGGGTCCGTTGTGTCCAACTCTACTTACCTAATCCAAATGTAATCCAAAATAAATACATTTCCAAATGCATTTAACGTACTGTACTGTTTGTTCTGTTTTCGCTTATGGGCTAAGATCAGCAAAATAAACCATTATGCAATATGCATAATTGGTAATAGTGAAATCCGAATCCACACTGGTAAATAAAAACTTAATAAATCCAAATATTTTGTACTCGATACAATGTTGATTTTCATCCATTGCAGATTTTATTTATTTCAAGTATAAAAATATTAAAATTGTTTTAAAAGGTTTCATTTGACTGTTTGGGAATTGATTTTAATATCTGAAAATTTAATTTAAATTTAAACCATACTTAACTTTAATAATGGTGATTCAAATTAAATAGAAACTATTAGTTATCTTATATTTTCCACATTAATTAAATTATTTTAATATTAGATCATGCTGTTTTATATGCATTTTATTTAATATTATAATATTATAATAATTTGAACACTTAATGCAATATACATTCCCTTTTTTTTGAACAGTGTAACCAGCCTTTTCACAAAACTGAGCAGAACAGCGAGAGCGAACGACAAGGAAACCTCTTTGTTACTTAATCCAAACATGGACACACTACTTCCACTTCACTGTGCAAAAATCAAAACCAGAGTATTTAATAAATCCTTTACAACTGGATAACATGGATAACAAACGTGTGGTCACTGACTGCATCAACGCTTTCTGATGGCCTCGAGCACTGGCTCAAAGGAGGGAAGCGGGGCGGCTTGCAACCGCTCCTGGGCAACGGACAGTTTGGCCTGGCTCGTAGAGAGCGTGGATCGCAGGGTCTGCAGTTCCTTCTCCGCCTCGGCCAGCTTCTGCTCGCAGTCGTCGAGGGCGGCGGTGCGGAGTTGGTGATCTTGCTTCTGATACTTTTCGGCGGCAGCGATTAGATCTTCGTTCTTCTGCTCGCTGATCTTTAGTTGTTCCTGCGCCTCGACCTGATCCTGCTCCAGCTCGTTCAGCTGGGCGATCTGAGTTTGCTGATCCTCCAGGAGCTGCTGCTGGTGCTGCAGCTGCATCTCGCGCTTGGCGCGATAGTCGGCCTCCATTTTGGTCAAGCTGTTTTCCTTCGCGCGCAGACGCGACTCCAAATCGGCGATTTGGTAGTCGAGATCAAGGGTCTTGTCCCTTATCGTGTCGGCCTGCTGTTCCAGCATCTGACGCCGCTCGACATTCTGTTGGCGCTGCTGCTGAAGAAAATTGTCCACCAACTTAAGGCTTTGTACCCGCCCGGCGATATCCTCCAGCTTGGGATTCAGGGGCAGCGTTAAATCCAACTGCTGGTCGACCCCGCCGCCGGCGATCTTGGGGCCGCAAGTCATGGCCATGTGGCGGGCATGCGAGTTGAAAGCCTCGACGGCGTCTAGTTGCTTTTGCTTGGCCCGCGACACCATCACCTGCTGGTGGAGCTCCAAATCGGACACCTCCTTCAGCTGTCGCTCATAGGCCTTGGAGTAGTTTTCCATATCGTTGAGCTCAATTTGAAGCGTCTTCAGCTGCTGGGCGGAGTACTTCTGTTTGTTCACCGCCTCCCGCAGCCGCTGCTCGTACTTCATTTGCTCCCTAATCGTGGTCTGCTTTTCTTCGATCTTGGCGGTCAGCTGGCGCAAAAGGTTCGTCTGATGGCTTAGCTCCTCCTCGCTGGCAGCCAGCTGTTGGCCAAGCTTTTTCTGCTTATTGCAAAGCCGTTCCAGTTTCTCCAGCTTCTTGTCGTCGCTGGCATCCTGCAGTTTGTCATCCAGTTGCTGCAGCGTTGCCCTCAGATCGCCGATCTTCTGGTCGAGATCTTGGCGATCCGGCAAACCGCACTTCAGGCTGATCAGCTCATCGCTGGTCTTGGCCTGCAGCATGGCCTCCTCCTTGGAGAGCTCCTGATCCCACAGGGTAATGCATTTGCTGGCCTCGGCGAAGAGCAGAGCGTTGACCTCCTCGTCCAACTGAACGGTCTGCACCTGGGTGGTCGACATGGTGACCATCGATTCGCAGTGCTCGGTGGTCTCCATGAATGGAAACTCTTCGAACGGCTCATCCCCGTCGCGCAAGGGTGGCGCAAAGTCCATGAGAAAGTCCAGCAGAACGATTACGTGGCCGAAGGAATGCTGCGTATTTGGCGACACTAGCCAGGATTTGTTCACCTGAAAGTTACAAATTGGTTAGAGATGAAGGTGGAATAAAGCCATGTCCTACAGCAGCCTCACCTGATGGGGATATTGCAGTTTCTGCATGGCACTAGTGATGTCCTCGACGTGGTTCTGGCCCACGGTCACCTTGTTGCGCCAGATGTGCTGGAAGAGGAAGTTAAGGATGGCCACGAACTGCTTGATGGTCATGTGCCGGAGACCGCCGGCGCGGTTAAACAGATCTGCGATGAGCCCCAGTCCCGAGGACTTCTCGTTATGCTGGACGGCATTGAGGTACTCCAGTATCTGCTGTGCCCGCTCCGCCACCCATTTCTTGTCGGAGTGCTGGGGAACAGGGCGTTCCGCGGTCGAGGGCACGAATCGGTGGCCTCGGTTGGGCGTCGTGCCCATTTGGTTGGCCGGATCCCGATCCAAGCTCAACGGTAGCGGCAGACGCGACGCCGAGGGTCTGGAGGGGATTGGGAAGCGGCATTATATGTGGTTATTGGGCGACTGTCTAGTCAGTGTACCCACCTTCTAGGATTCGCCTGGACGGACGACGGAGTGGCCGTGACTGCACTGCGCTTGTTGCTCCTAAATAAAGGTTATTCGGTTAGGTCTTAGTCCTCCTGGGATTCTGAGCAACTCACCTAGACTGCCGTTTATCCACGGTGCCACGATCTTCCAGCGAATCGCCGCGGAATTCGATGGTACGCCGGGGCATGAGGTGCGACATTCTGGACAAATAATTAACTTTTAACAATTAAAAATTGAAATAGAAAATAGGCGCCGTGCTGACAATTCGAAATTTCGCTTCAACGTGAAGTTGGCTGCGCTTGTAATCGATAGTTTCTAGAGATGCGCTTTTGAGTTTTACAGTTTGCCGCCAGTGTTCACACTGCATGGCAGTAGCATCACCAGCATCCATCAGCGTTCACACTGCAACCGCAGCAAATCCAGCATCAGAATATAAAGTTATTTGCACTGATAAGTACGAATCAATTGTTTATGTTTAGTTCTCGCGTTCTTCACTGTAAATATTTTTTTATTCGACAATCGACTTTTTGGTATACAAAATATAAAGAAAAACTTTGAATTTATGACTTAACAGAACGATTTGCAAATAGATTTGTATTTTTTTCAAATAACAATATATGTTAACAAAAATCTGGTAATTAGTCTCTGAGAATCACCTAATTATATGATAATTATCTCTTTATAAGAAATAATTATGATAGCCAGTTGTTTTAGGTAAATAATGACTACGTGACCTTTGCACATCCCTTTAAAGATAAAGAAAAAACAAAAACACCCTTCTCCTTATGAACGATTTTGTTTGCTTTCGTTTATTCCAACATATTTATTTAATTGGTATTATTGTTTCAAGTATTACACAATATTGATGCCTTTTCTTTTACGTTTTTCATTAATTTATATTAATTATTATATATTGTTATAACTAAATATCGATCACATTTCCTTTCAGAACGTCTCTCATTCTCATCGTTTTAATCCCTGTTCACTTTTTGTTGCAGAACGTACAAACTCCTGCATACACTTTCCCATCGTCCTAACTAATTTGCAATAATAAATATCGTTTTTCGCGCGTTAATTATTGCTTTTCTTTTACACTCGCTGGGGGCTGCGGGGAAATGGGAATGGGGACAATGAGAAAAGTAATATTAAAAAAAAAAACACACACAAAATCGAAAGCGAGACTTGCAAAAATCAAATCTGCGATAATACTACTAATTGGTGGACAAGTGTAAATTAAGGAATTAAGTAGGTTACATTTACGACTATATTTTGCAATTATTTTTTTGGCTGCTTAAGGTAAACCAGAGCGAAAGAATCAAGAACCGAAGGGGGAGAAAACAATTTGCGTTGCGTAAATGTTCTTTTAGTTATTCTTCGTCTTCTATTTCTCCCTATACAATGTATATATTTCATTAAATGTGTATAATATTGTCCTAAAAGCCTTAAAAAATATGACGCAGCAGGCCTGCAAATCTACATATGTATGCCCATATATAGCCTGTATATATATACCATAATCGCACATAATTTCTCGGTAGAGCAAAAGGAACACAAGCAAAAGCCATGTGAAAAAGGACACAATGTAAAAGGATATTATCATCTCTCTCGCCTCGATCATTCGACATGCATCATTAAAAGTTAGTTCGTTTTTAAATTGGTTTCCGTTTCCGTTTGGTGTTGGGAGGTTTTTTGTTTTTTGTTTTTTTTTTTGGGAGGGGCGCCTGGAGGCTATACGTACAATTTCTAGGTTTTCTATATATTTGTTTTAGGTACATAACAGTTCTTTATATTGTGTGGTGTGGTTGTGGTGTGTTGTGTGTGGCTGCCTTTTTGTTTATCGTTCTACGTTTTTCCGTACTCCGTACTACGTATTCCGTATTCCCTATTTCGTTTGCTAATCTAGTTGGGCGCGTTGAGGGTCTGCATTCCGGATCCGTACTGCATGCCCACAGACATGGTGAAGAGCCACGCCACCGCCAGCAGACTGCTGCCCAGCAGATCGCCCAGAGCCGTCAGGTAGGGTATGGCCGAGTTATCCGGATCGATCTTCCACTTCCACATCGCGTGCACAATAATGTGGGCAATATAGAGCAGCAGCATCACCTGAAATGATTGCAACGCATTAGCAATTGTTTGCGCTTGTTTTACTACAAATAGCCATTAGTTTTAAAGCAAATAGTTGGTTTTTCATTTAATTAGTATACTCAATGACTATTATTAAGAGACATGCAATGTAGAAGTTTTTTTTTCTTTTTTTTTTGAACAGGAGATATTTATTGTTTTTGAGTAATTTATTTATTTATTTACTATCATAATGCGACAAGGCTGAGCTTGTATTTATTGCGCTAGTCAAAATTGGTAGCTTTTTCTTATGTTTCCATAAACTTCCAACTCACCTGCACTAAACTGGCCATCAGATAGGAAATCACAAACACCCAGGTGACCGTAGAGGTGCTATAATTGATATAGTCGGCCGCAAAGATGAACAGAATGTTGCCGGGAATGGACATGGCAATAAGTATTCTCGCTGTCTTCGCATAGGGAACTGTTTACCAAGGAAAACCAAACATTAGTATCCGGTTCATTAGCCTGCTTCGACTGTGCGAATTACCTCCTTTGAAGAGCGCCCGCCACGGCCACTCCCAAATCTTCGTGTGCGGTGGTATAATCCCGATAATTGAGCTCTGGTGCAGCATTGTGGATATCTTGCTGGCCTGCACCGACACCAGGTTGCCGCCGATTCCGTTGATGATCGGCTGGAACACCACGAATCCAGTAAACACCTCGACAGCAGCATCCAACACAAGGCCGCCCAAACTGCAAGAAAATGACGAAAAGGTCAGTAATCAGTTATCAGTTATCAGTTTAGAAACCAAACCACCGGGCTTACACTTGATTAGATTCCAACACATAATGGTTGTAAAACATAGATAACTTTAAATTATAACATTCATTTGTTTGGCCTTTACAGCTTTCAAGGAAAAACTATATATTGTTCAATTGCTTGTGTATTAATAAAGATTAACAGTTGCGGTTGAACTGAAGTAAGTGACTCATTTAATTTCAAATCTAATGTCTCCCTAGTTCTGATTCGCGTTAACTAAAGTTTGTTTGTCTTTTGAAGTTGTGCAGTCCCAAATGCCCAAGTCATGGCGAATAATTACGCCCGGGAATTCAAATCCTACTGCTTCTACTGATTCTAATTACAAGTGCGCTTGACCTGCCGCCAAAGACGAGTCAGGGACATCCAGCCGTGCGAATGTTTCCCATGGTCTCTTGGGTCTTGACTTCTACTTATTCCCCAGATTTGTATATAAATAGCGTTCAGATTCAATCGCCTGGACATGATTTGGCATTAAATTAAACGGCCTGATATATCTAAATATAGCGGGGACAACTTGACGTTTTTCTGCTTATCATGGCCCCAATTTCGCGGGACTCAAGAGTCCATCATCCGATCCGATTGAATAGAGATTGCAGAGTGCAGAGTGCGGAGTGCGGAGTGCGCAGTACACAGTACGTACCCACTTATGCAGAGGGCCGAGAGGACGGGCACCCATCCGCTCTTTAGCACCGGTCGCGTGTACTCGTTCCTCAGCACGATCATCACCCACATGGGCAGCAGCACCAGGTAGCAAGTGACCACGATGAATGTGATCCACAGGTGCGTTTCTGTGGGGGAAAAAATTATGATTAATATGGAAAATATATGATAGTAAATTTGCCCCTAGTCTAGTTTTAGGTGGCGCCATCTGTCGAGTAGTAGATCGAATTTTTAAACATCCAAACATTTACATTTATTTTAATAGCATTTAAACTAATGGTTTGATTTACAACATTTTTGTTCGAGTCTATAGATATTAACCAAATAAACCTATTCAGCGTAATATCTGGTCCTTATCATGACTCAGATTGAAATGACAAACTTTCGCTATTTGAGGGCGTTAGAGTGGGCGTATTCTAACTAAAACTTGTGCTGCGTAAACACAACTAGAACCTGAATGATAAATTTCAAACCGTTGGCTTTAATAGTTTACGAGATCTCGAAAAACAAGTTCAATAATTTATATACTTAATAGGGTCTCTCTGTACTTTCGGTTGTAAAGTAGATGGGAATAATCATAGGAATTATGTTAAACTTACTGATATGATCGTACAGCAGCGAGGCGATAAAGGAGAGCAAACTGATGGACACCACATCGCCAATGGAGGCGGCTAACGGTGTGGCCAGATTATCCGGATTGAGACGGTACTTCTGTGAGAACATGATGACAGCGACCAAAACAAAGTCTGAAAAAGGAAAAGACGTCTGCCATTAATGGGCCATGTCGTCGAATGGAATGCAAGCAAAGTAAGAAGAGAAAAATCCTACCCAGCACAAAGCATGACGAAGTGGCCGTGAACATCGCCGAGGCGGTCAGCAGCATCATGTTCTCGAAATAGAAATCGCCGGTCATGGCCGCACCAACGCTCACCGCAAACATGGCCACCAGAAAGGAGGCCACCGTCGCCTGAACCTGCACCAGCGCTATATTGCCCACTATCATCCTGATCACGCTCTGCCGACTGGTCATGTTGCCCAGGTTCACTTGCGTGGAGAGCCGCGATGCCAGGCACATGTCCAGGTTGCCCTTCAGGCCCAAAAGCGCCGGCACCAGGATGAACAACTCGCTCACATTCTTGAACACATACCATTTCTGGAGGAGAACGGCAAAAGAGAAAAAAGATTTTGAATTAGTATTTAATTCATATATGTATATAGAGAGGAACAATACCTACGATTATTACCTACAATGTATATTTATTTCCCTTAAAATGTCATTACCAAATGTCAATTAAATTTGTGCTAATGGCTTTATTCATTTTTTAAAGTGAATACACCCTTTTTGGCCGAGTGCATCGAATATATATGACAGCTATATTTGTATTTACAGCCCCAAATGCAAACCCCTCCCCTTGTTTATTGAAAATGTTCAGTTCATTTCGAGCATTGGCCGCCTGTAACTGGCTGCAACTCCAGTTTGGCCCAGAACTTTTACCATCAATTAGCAGGCAATTAAACATTTACTATCCACCACATATGTACCATATTTGATGTATACTTCGTAGCCATAAATAACATTCTAAAATGAATTGTGCCGATTCACCAAGTACACAAAGGAGGGGAAAGGTTTAAAAATAGCTTCAGAGCTCTGTCTGGTTTTTGCTTGATTGAGTGGCTCTTTAAGTCTTGAATGTCAAACAGATCGATTATTGAAAGCGTTGTCATGGCACTCATCATAATAC